CAATCATAAGGTGTTTCCTAGAAGTCTAGTGATAATTTAAAGCCTGCCTAAAAATAAACATCCTGTATATTCTGAACTTCTAATAACCAAAAATTATATGATAGATCTGCTCGATTTGGAATTCAAAACTTATCTCTACAGTCTAAGTATACTTAGTGAGATAAATCCAATCAAAGTTGTAGAAATAGAAGCTGGACTAAGAATATCAAAATTATTCGAAATTGGATTAAAAGATATTGGATTAAAGGATCAAACTGAAAAAGATGATGATATAAAATCGGAAGAGTCAAAGACTAAAGTGGAAGAATCGGGAACAAGTGAAGAGAAACAAGAAAAAAAGGTAGTGGTTTTAAATGATCTCGTGACCCATACGAACGTCCTAAGACCATTTTTTAAGAGATCTGGAAAGTTCTAATAGTTTGTTACACATGCCTGATTAGAGACATAGAACCCCTTAAATTTTCAAAAAAGATTGAAATGAAATTTAATACAGCGTATGATCAAGCAAGAAAAATCAAGATAGAAAACTGTATGCTTGAAAAGATTCAATTCAGTGAGATATTGTTAAGCAGGTCCATGATGCAGGACCATAGATTATAAAAGAGAGTTGGGTACTTATCTCTATAGGTACCAAGCCCTGAATCTTTTACCTTAATCAATTTGACCATTTTCGACATTTATGAGAAAGGAGTCTCTCTGAACTGCTTGAAATACCTAAATATTTTTTTCAGGGTAGTAAAAAGAAAAAGAATAAGCAAGAAAAAAATCAGGAAAAAACATGTTTATCAGAATTTTTTAAAGAGGTTTTCGAGTTTTTTGAAAACAATTCAAAGAAAAGTCTAAAAGAGAATAAGAAACTAGATGTTCTAAATGAACGACAAGTTTCTCTAGAAGATCAACGAAAAGAGTTTATTAGATTTCTAGGCTTGAGGTATTGTGATGAAGTTGCGAAGAGTATAAAACTAAAGCCAGGGGGAATGGTTAACACTGATAAATACTCTAAAGAAGTTACGGAAAGCCTAAAAGTCGAGCTCACTCGGAATTTGTTAAAAATTTACAATAACAATGATAAATTCAGAGATGAATATTTATCGCAAGAAATAAGAGGTGCAAAATGGAGAATAATCAAATTTCTTCAAATTGAAGGAATTTTTGAAGATATCTTTGAAAAACCTAATGAGCACATAGATGCTTATCATTTGCTTAAATATGGTATTTTAATAATGTTATGTATTTTGGTCAGCCTTTACGAGCATTTACACTATGATTTCTGTGGTCTGAATCAGTCTAAACTAAAGTTGTCTCGAAATTTCGCTTTTCAGGATTTTGACCTACGATTTTAAATTTTGAGACAACTCTGATCTAAACCATAAAATGATCTGGAAGATTTCCGCCAGAGTTAAGGACCCGATTGATTTGAGCTCCGATGATATTCGCGGTTTCGTGTTTTCTGACTAGAAGTTTGCTTAGGCCAAGTATTGCTAACCTTATAATGATCGCTTGATTCTGATATTATCTAGGTTAGTAAGTTGAAGGTTGGGGACCCATGAATTACTAATATATTTCGCATCCTTATTAATATCTGAAACTAATTTTAACAGAGCAAAATGACGACCAAATCCTCAACATTTTAACTCAAATCTATCTGGATTATCTGAAAGATCCAAAGGGAAAAGAAGAAAAAAGACAGATATCATTAGATATTTTAATGTCAATATACAATATGAATAATCAAATGTTGACTGAATATCCAAAGACATCAAAAAATAGTTGGGAATATTATGTGAATACTATGATAATATTTATCAGTAAGATCTTTAATGAAACACCAAAAGATATGAAGTCAACATCTGTTTTATACAAAAACATTTTATACATGATTAGAAAGTGTTCAGAAGAGGAAAAAAATCTACAAGAAGTCCCAAAGCTGGAAGGTCCATCAGCCTTAGAAAAGATGGAATCAGAAAAAATAGCAGAATTCAAATCTGATATAAACCCTGAAGGTTTCATATGATGTTCCCATCAGACGTGGGTCGGAATTCCGATTTCCGAAAAATTTTTATTTCCAATTTCCGACATTTGAGCCAGTTCCGATTTCTGGCTCTGCCGATTTTCGACACTTTTGAATGTACCGGCCCACCTCTGGTTCCATTAGCAAATATAATATTCACGATTTTTAGAGGAAGCATCAGATCTCGATGTTATGGTGGAAAGAATGTATAAATTAATAGAGAAAAGTATTGAATCAGGATCAAAGATTGATCGCTCGTTAGTAATACTTGACAAAAAAACACAAGAGCAATGGTTAAAGTTCAATCACAGAAAAACAATTGACATACTTGAAGAGAAAAATGAAAAATTTAAAGGGGAAATTGAAGGCATAATTTTTAAAATTAATCTGTTATCTTGAAAAACGCATTCTTTTAAGCCTTAAAAAAGACCAAGGAAGGTAGAAAACGATTGCGTGAGCTTGCGGGATCCGAAACAAACAGGAGCATTGATGTAAATTTTATTCGGGTTGTTTCACGGAGGGTAGTGGGAGGGAAACCTTGGGACCTTTGTTTTTAACGTTATAAAAATTATAAATTCAGAGTGATTCGACTCCACCTAATAGTCCTACAAGTATGTATGAATTAAAGTACAATGTTACAGGTAATACTGTATATTAAATATTTTTTAATTAAAATTAAATTAAGATGAAAAAATGTCAAAATATATAGAAAATTTTGAAAAATTTTTCCATACCGAAATTGAATTAGAAAAACATACACAGTTGGTAGATGCGGATGGGGTATTCTGGTATTTTGAAATGGGGATTCAGAATATGCTTTGGGTAAGCAGCAGAAATTAAGATAACATAATTATTAAACCAAACTCCTTATTAGAAGCTGGGTTAGAGGATTTGAGAAAATCCCTGGATACTCATCCGGATTCCGGAACATTTTCGGATTCAATAGCAGAATTTCTGATTCAATAGCAAGCCCACTAACCTAGATTAGCGGATGGGTTACTCCGCTATTTTGAAATGGAAGATCCAATCGAGGTTGGTGGATCCGTATATCCGCATTGGTTCTGATATTGGATTAGAAAATGTAAACCTGTGAGAGGGTGAAAATAAAACATTTTAGAGAAAATTTCCTCTTGATTTTTCCTTTAATTTAAATATTTAAAAAATTTTTAATTATAAAATCAAAGGATTTAAACGAAAAACACCCCGAATTGTTAAAGCTACGAGAAGAATGGTCAGTGATTGATAGACGAATACATAGTGAAGATTCATCGCGCGATCAATCAATTGCTGTTCAGATGATTAGGATTAATCCTAAAATAAAGGATATCGTTAATTTTTTCTTCGTGAGAGTTGTGCGGAACCCTGTATTGAAGTTGACGGAATGGTGGAATGACCTTGTGAAGAAAACAATAGTAAAACTAATAAACATTTAAATTTTAAATTAAAATATAAGCTAGTTTGAACATTGTTGAAAATATGCCTTCATTTAGGAAAGATTTAAAACCTCAAAAGTAAATTTTGGAAAATGAGTAGCTGATATAAGGCAAAATAAGTTCCTCTCTAAGCGGATTAAGCTGATCTAAGGCAGATTAAGTTAATAAAGCAAAAATGGAAATGGCTAAGCGGTCAAGTGAGGGAGAGAGGTCCTCAGAACCTTCCGACGGGCTTCCATCAGAGAGCTTTCACAATCAACTCTACAATTTTTCTGCATCTTTGGCATGGGCTCGAAAGATTCACCTTGATAAAAGGAACTAGATAATTAACTAATAAAACATAACATAAAAATAACTAAATCTTGCAGAATAAAATGCCACAAGTTGGTTTGTTTGATGATGAAATGCTTACTTCATTTGATGTGCTAACTTCAGACGAAAAGATAGCTGAATCATATGAAAGGGTTAAGAAACTTAACGTGATTTTAAAATCTAATTTAAACTTTTAACAATCAAAAACTAAAATATATTTAGGTGAGACAAAATATTGTGTTTTACTACCTCGATTGGCTTATCCTAAAATCAGCAATAATTAGTAATATGATTAGACAACGGAGCAATGAAGCTTCAATTATGTCTAGTTCAAGTTCAACTGTTTATTTTCATAAAAATCGAAAGGGTCGATTACATCAATTTTTAAATGATGAAAATTTGATAAAATTGGAAGAAAATTTTCCAACAATTCTACATATTGGTTAGGATAGTTATGCTAATATTGGATGTGATCAAATGAGTTACACTAATATTGTACGATATAACTGTTGCACAAATCTCTTAGGCTTAGGCATACCCCCCTCCCCCCCCCCCACCTTTTGGCTTTCGTCCAAAAATAGGCACTCTCCTTCAACCCATAGACACCTCCTTTCACCATCTATGTACATCGGAAACTAATTTAGGGTGAACTAAAAGATTTTTAAATTTATAGAAGAAATGTTGGACGCTACACGTTTCTATCTTTATCGAAAATATTCTAATCCCAAGCTTGGCCCTAAAGAATCGGAAGAAGTAGAGCTGCGCATCGTTGTCCCTTTGATGTTACACAAAATTTTTGATAGGCTAATACATATCAAAAGCAAATATGTCAGTCAAGAGCAAGAAGTAAGCTTTATTAGTAGTTCAGGTTAAGGATGGCGGTTCATGGAAAATCTCCGGATATCCGGATCCGGAACTGGTATCCGAACCGAAAATTTCCGAATATCCATAGTTTTTCGGTTCCGAATACTCGGAACCGCCAACCTTAGCTCAGGTTCCTCTTGCATTAGCTTTTGTTATCTTATACCAGATTTAAAGGGCTTTAAAATCAAAATTCAAAATTAGTTTACGTTGTATTTCGATAAGCAATACTGTCAGGATCTTGATTTATAGTAAGGAGGCCTAAACTTTTACCTCTATCCTTCTCTACTAGGCTCAAATTACAGTACAAAAATAGAAATGTTTTATATTTTGTGTACAAATTTCAGATTGAAAATCGGATTCAAACGTTCAAGAATATAATCATGAATGTTAATACAAATGAAAAAATTTGCACACCACGTGCTGTGTGCTTGATTCTTAACTTTTCAGAAAATATTAAAGATGTTGAACAAATGTAATTTTAAATAGAAAAATATTTAAATTTAAATAATTTTAGTGGGACAGAAAAATATTTGGATAAATTTTTTAATTGGAAGCCTGAAAAGATATGCCATGAAACATCTCATATTGACAAGGCTTTAGAGCAGCAACGGAACATTATGATCGAAGAACATTGGGAATTTATATGTAAAAAGGTGCAAAATGAAAACTACGACTATACTAAATTGTTTAAAGAGCAGATAAGCATGGTTCCTGGAGGTTCTACAAAAATGACACAACTTGTTCCTAGTTATAAATTAATGGTTTCTGTACAACCTTTTGATTGTAGGATAATTTTATAATTTCATAATTACAGTAATACCCTTATAGAATCCAAATATAATTATTAGAGGCCCATTGAGGCATTTGAATGAGGCTTATTTGTCAGTCGAATAGCATAAGCTCGTTCATATGTATTATAAGCCAATTCATTGAGACCCTTAAAAATCCACAGGACCTCTACCTCTATTAGGACATTTACGATATTATAAAAATTTTTTAAAGTATTTTTTGATGATTATATTGCCAAGCTCCATTGCTTCAATGCATTTAACATTGATCAAGACAAGCAAGCTAAGATTGCCGGTAGAATAGCCTGTCAAATGATCATGTGGGCTCGATGGATGGATGAATTATTAGACTTGAAGGACAGACCTAATGAAGGACTGTCTAGATCACATTTAAATATAGCGTGGATAAAACAGAGGTTGTCATTACAAAGCAAATTAGATGAATTATTTGTGATGGATATTTCAAGTCTGGAGAACAAGGAGGAGGAAATGGCACGAATGCAGGTGTTTTAAAAATTTTTTAAAGAAATTAATAATTTTTTTCATTATCGAACACAAGTAAATAAAATGTGAAACAATAAAATAAAATCTCCTTGATCCACAGGGATCACTTATGGAAATAGTAGTCACTTATGGAGATACTGTTGTTTATTGTATCTCTAACTTATTATTGTTAAATACGGTCCTCCCGTTATTAAAGTGCCTCTCAATTTGAATGACCACTCTAAACCTCTCTTTTGAATACCCCTCCAATCGAATGCTCTTTTGGAATTTAAATGAAAAATTTAAATGTCCGGGCACCTTATTAATAAGCTAGTTCATAACAAGGTCCAGAACTTGGTCGAAATCACTTAAAAATTCAGGTTGATCTAAACGAATTTGTTCTTGATAAGCTTGATACATACATTGTTGTTGGAAGTCCAGAAAGAGTGGTATTGAAATGGCTAGAGATAGAATCACTGCAAGAACATAGGGTTGAATGGAATAATGACGAATATACGCAACACATTAATTGGATTAGGGGAAAAATCACAGATTTTATAATCAACTCAATATCAAATCCTCCTGGCCCTAATGCTAGAGAGGCTGAGAGAATGCAGTTTTTTTATATAAAGAACATTCAAGCACCAGGTAAGAATTATTAATATTAAAATCGAAAGATCAAATCAAGCCTTTCCTTCAATATAAAATTGTAAGGATGATTCACCCAACAGCATTTAAAACGCTTAGGCGGGGGTTCAACGATCTAAAAAGGAAAAAGAGAAAGCATAAGTCGATGCCCGGGTAGCTCAGAGGTAAAGCTCCTTTATATAGTGAGTGAAAGCGCATAGCAACAACTAACAGGTGGTCGCATGTTCGAATCCTCCAGCCCGGTGGCTAAACTTTTGCAAGCTCTTTCTAAATCAAGGCTTTCCTTCAATATATTCTTTCCTCAATAATCGAGCCTTTCCTCAATAATCCTTCAATACATAAAAAATTAAGAATTGAAAACCAATCCAGAAGCAAGAGAAGCTTTGAGAGATTTTGTTGGTTATTCTGGAATTGCCAGAATGAAAAGCGAATTTCCAGAATTGTCAGAATTAAACTGGGAACCGGAGGGTAAGGATGAGATGAATAAAGAAGAAATGGACAAAATAATACGAAAGGAGGAGGAAGCTCAAGTAGATCCAGATGAAAGAAGAGGACATAGATGGATGATGGAAGGTTTTGAAGTTGCCTCTGAAACATCTCAAGGATCCAGTGCTACAAAATTAAAGAGAAAATCCAAATTTAGTCGAAAAATAAAACCAAAAAGATTATTTTCTGGAGAATCTAATCGAGATAGGAAAAAACAATTGAGGAAGAAAAAACAAGCAGAAAAAGAAAAATTTTTAGAAACAATTAGGGCTCGAAAAGGAGAGCTGCTAGAGGATGATTCGAGTAAATTTTGAATAGATTAAACTTATTTGTGACACAAAGGCTTCTAGACGCTTAATAAGTTCTTAAGGATTTATCCCATATCTGAGATATATATATATCCACATATCTCCCCATATTGTTAGCATCCTTTGCCCATATTGTTATCTGTCCAAATTGTTAGCATTTAAGGGACTTGATAACCACCCACAGTATGGGACGCTAATATAGTCCCTTCTAAGTGTTAACGGGAACTATAATAAGCAGGAATACTTAATGATACAAATGTGCCCGTATACGCCTCCTTTATAAAATTTAAATCCTAATCCTAAGTATCTACATGAAACCTGATAGGAAATACGAGATATACATTCATCGAACCTTTGTCTCACACAATACATTCAGTAAATGATTTACACTGATCAATTGAATTAATTTATAGATAAATCTAAAGAGACTAAGAAATCTGCATTTCACGATGAAAATTTTCACAAAGATTTACAAAATTATCTGAATTATTATAATCAAAATTATCAGCCTAATGAAGAGATCCAAAAAGATAGTTTTGATCCATTATTAAAGGAAATTGAAAATACTTTAGATTTGGCAAAAGATTTAGTTGATAAGGGAGAGATAAAATGGCTTAATGTAATTAAAGACAAATGGGATGGTAAAAAGATTCAAATTCTGTCGAGTGATGTTGCTTCAATTAGTAATAATCTAGAAGGATTTTTGAATCATCTCAAGGATGAAATTAAAGAAAATTTGTTGGTAAGTATTATGGAGCATATAATACTTTCGAGATAATGTAAGACATATCTGTTGCTTGCCTATGCCCCGACCCAATAGTCAACCCCGACCCCGAACTCCGACATGCCTTCCCCGACACACCCGCCCCCAAAGGGTCAAATTGCTATCTTAATATATTCAATTATCATGCTTATGCTAATATGTAGTTTTGAGGAAAAATCTGTTTCCAGTTGATCTGTATTTGTAAGTACTGCAAGGGAGAAGCACACAGATATGGTTTAGTAAAGCTATTTGATTAGATCGTACCAACCATATAGCTTTCGATAGAGAATACCGTATTTCCTGAAATAAAACTTCCCCCTTAAATAATACATACTCCACTTTGAAGGAGGGACGAAAAATAGTATTCCCCTCTGAATTAGTACTCCCTCTTTAAATTAATCCCTTTGGAGGAGGGTCGAAAAATAGTACTCACGGGAGTACCATTATAAGAAATACGGTATGCTGGTATTTGTGCCTGGTTTGTGCTTGGTTTTATGATGGTTCCAGCATAATTCCTAATATTTAATATAAACTACAAATTATATTTAGCTCCGAAGAGCGCTTCGTGAATTTGATTCGGATATACTAACTCACAAGCATAAAAAATGGCCAAATATTCAGCAGGCAAAGAGAGCAATGATAGAATCTATCAAAAATTGGGTAACCTATAAAATTTAAGTCCCAAAAAATTTAAAATTAAGATTCCTTGGTCTCATCAAAATAATGAAAAACCCGCTCCAAAAGGAATCGCAAAATTTGTATTATCCGGATCACATCGGCTTGGAGCTGCAACTATAAATTCTGACATAGATGGGGTTATATTAGTTCCACGTAAGACTTATTGGCATTCACAATTTGAAAAAGATTTTTTTGGAAATTTTGATTGTATTTCGAAAAGATGTGTTGACAGAGAAAGTAATAATAATTCAAAAGTTGAAGCTGTGGAAGAAGCTAAAGACGATTCACTTTTTTGTAGATTATGCGAGGTATTAAGGAGTTTTTTGTGTTATTTTGGGAGCATAACAACTATAACGCTGGTATCATTCTAAAAACAGCTAGCGGAATTTACCAAAGAGAGGAAAAGAACGCCGCAAAAGACCATTTCCAAAGGGTTATTAGCAGTGATGTCATAGCTCCAATTCCGGAACTAATTAGTTCTAGTTCCAGCTCCAGAACTAGAACTATGGAACTAACGATTATCTGGAACTAGTTTGGAACTAGAACTGCGGAAATAGTAAATGCCTGGAACTAGCTTGGAACCGGAACTACAAAAATTAAAAACTTAGTTCTGGAACTGGAACTAGTTCCAGAGAAATTTTGAAACTTTGACAGCACTCGTTATTAGATGCCCATTATCTAAGCTTGACAACGGCACTAGCATATTCATTCTAATAGGCATACCATCATTCTACTGAAGATGTCCCAGCCGAAATTTTTTTCCACTAGCTGAAGGAGAGAAATAGTTATAGCCCAGCTCTGTTCTATCAATTAATGTAGGATCTTGTGTAGTACATGTCCTACTGAAAAAAAATTTTTTGTGTTCTAGTATAAGCACTAAGTCGTTTTGTCACGGTATCTCCTTAACGATATCCTCCTTAATATTACTATACTAATTATTTTTCTTGAAGAATCCTAATGTTGAGAATCTGAGACGAATTTATGGTCGAGTTCCAATAATTGGTTTGAAATTTAACGAGTTTGAATTTGACCTATCTTTTGTGACTCTCGAAGAGGAATCGTTAAACAACTTATTTAAAGATGATAATTCCTTAACAGTGAAAAATCTTGATGAAGCAATTGAAAAGTTTAGAGAGGAAATGCCAAATGCGTTTTTTGAAGCAGATAATGCAACGATACTTAGATTGCGGTTAAACACGAGATTAGGAATGCTTTTTGCGCTTTCCGGTATTCTTTCGGAATAAGATTAACAAATGATACTTTTTTAGGAGTGCGATCAACTTTGCGCTTTATCGAATTGCTTGATAAAAATATAGCAAAATTCAAACTGGCATATATTACAGTAAAGTTATGGGCGAAAAGTAAGACATTTATTATGATATCACTATAATAAATCACCATACTGAAAAATTCCGACATTAATAGTGTAATACATACTAGAGATCAGTATTTCAAAAACCCTGGATCTGGATTCTGGATCCAGAAAAAATCCAGGAAGATCAAAATATGCCTGGACTTGGCTCTGGATCCAGGAAAAATCCAGACAGGATCCAGATCCAGACCGATCTCTAATACATACGTCAATATGATTGAACGATTGACTGAATGTCGTTCCCAACAAACCATGGAGCCATCACGAACAGGATCCTCTTATTCCATTCATGCCATCCCTGTTACTCGAAATGGGTGTTCTCTGAAAAGTTATAACAGATTGTTCGGGGAGGGAGCAGGCTAATGTACCGCGAGCCCAAGGTACCGCCGAGTTATAACATTTTTCAAAATTGTCGAATCCGGGACGCAATGATAAGGTTCGATTCAGCTCGTCAAGGCGCATCGAACCATATCAGGGCGTCCCGGATTCGACAATTTTGAACGAAGCTCTGTGGTACGTTGGGGTGTACCCGTTCGGGGACGACCACTATCTCACAATAATACTTTGGGTATTCCCGGAAATATTACTAACGTTCATAATTATTAGCAAATATCCTAATATACTCTTATTATCATTAAAGATCATTTCATATATGGCGGAAACTTTGGATTTTTAAATGGGTCTTCGCTTACGGTGCTTGTCAGCAAATTTGTTATAGAAAACACAAATGATTCTATAATATCTATAATTATGAAATTATTTGAATTTCTGGTTAAGTGGTTTGATCTTGAATCAAATGAGGAAAAAATAATTATGGTAGAAAATCCGAAAAATTATGAAAATTCAAGAAAAATCGTTGATTGGAATTTAGATAGAGAGCTTAAACAAAGGGAAGAACATTTTAAAAATTTGTTAGGGGAAGGATACGAGAAACATTCAGAAGTTGTATGCCCAATTATTTTGCCCGGATTTCCTACACAAAATGCTGGATTTAACATTAATCGCAGTACGGGTCTAATTATAAAGGAGGAAATAGAAAATGGTAAGAATTTTTTATTTGTGATTCAACCCCGCATATCATAGTAGGAATAATAAGTGAAGACAGGGATCAGTCTGTAAAGCAGGAGCAGTCAACAAAATAGTCAGCCCTATAAGTTAGTATACCCCGATCTGTGGAGAGAGAGAATATTTGTCAACATAGGAGATTAAGCATTTACGGGTCGATTGAAGAAGCGAATGAGTGGGCCTGAGAGACGGGATGGGGCCTGAGAGAGGAGGGATCAAGAGACAAGATTAAGCATTTACGGGTCGATTGAAGGAGGGAATGTGTGGGCCTGAGAGACGGGACTGGGCCTGAGAGACGTAGGGAATGAGAGACGGAGGGAATGAGAGACGGGATTAAGCATTTACGGGTCGATTGAAGGAGGGAATGTGTGGGCCTGAGAGACGGGACTGGGCCTGAGAGACGTAGGGAATGAGAGACGGAGGGAATGAGAGACGGGATTAAGCATTTACGGGTCGATCGAAAGATCAATTCTCAATATAATCCAATCATTCTCAATATAATCCAAGGAGTCAGGTAAATATATCCGACAAGGATTAAACAGAGATCTATTAGTATTACTTTATTTTTATTGACCGTGATATGGATTCAGGCGGATTCTCAATTTTATCTATTTAAAATTTTTCAGGTTTGGATAAATTTAAAAGCCTGCAAGATGAATTTAATGAATTAATTGAGAATAAAAATATTGATAAATCCACAGATGCTGAAAAGATATGGAAGGATTGGTTAGATGGGGGAGAATTTGAAGAAAAGTATGATACTTATTTGGCAATCATCTGTCACCATACAAAACCAAGCATTTATGGACCTCAGTTTTGTGAATTTGCTGAAACCCGCATTCGACTTGGACTTTTATCAATTGTTGAACATCACAGCCCGAACATTGAATATTGCCATGCATCACCAATAAAATATCTGAACGCTCAACATTGCCCTTTAAAATTCGTTGAGGATAAATTTTCACACTGGACTTGTAATGTTTGGCTAGTTGGAATTAAGGGAAGTATTGGGCAAGAAAGAATTGATGAGATCATGAACAAATTTAGTTCGGATATTTATAAAGACTTTCACAAGTCAAAAAGTGGAAAGAAAGTGAAACCAACACACAGAAGAAAATATAGACTCAGAACCAAGTATTTTCTAAAAGATGACCTAAAAGACAATTGAGGGAAGTAAGACGGAACTTACGGGATATGTATATAGCTGAGATTTATGTGATGCTTTATTACTAACCTCAAATCTAGGATTACAATTTTTAGAGAACGTTTTAAGAAAAAGACGGAGAACGAAAAATTACACATCTTTGTCTTGAACGTTCTCTATTTTTAAATTTTTACTAGGGATTTAAATTTTTACCGGGTTTAAAACCGGTCGTGAACAACCCAAATTTTTACATAAATTTCTATTTTAAATTCATTAGAATTTTATTTTTTTGATATCAGGATAAATTTTATATCTGGGAGTAATATTGTTTTAAAAAGTTTTTTGGGTTATTTAAGGATTATAATTCTAGAGAACGTTTTACATAAATCCCACAAAATATAATCGGATTCATCAAAAATTAAAAAAAAGTTTTGATTTGAAAAATTGTTTCTTGCCAATATTCTCCAGTGCTTGTAAACCCCGGAGCCGGAGCCAAGAGCTTTCAAGCTACCTGAAGAAGGGTGAAATAAATAGAAGTGAGCAAAAATGTAAGGCGTGGAAAGAAGGAAGATAATCGTACGATACTCCAAGTAGGGCTCTAATACTGCTAGAAAATTTTTGGAGCTTAGAAAATTAATTAACCTCCAATAAAGTTTAAATTTAAAAATCCAAATTAAAAAACGGCCACTATTTATGACGCCACCTAATAAAACGAACATAGCTATCCACCCTTCCCAAAACTATACATATATGGGGTTTTTGGTTCAATTCTCGATTAATCTACAACATTAACAGCAAAATAATTTTTACAAAAATAAATTTATGCAAATCATTTACGTTGAATTTTGTTGTATTATGATGTATTTCGACGATCTAGGTTGTCAAAATATGGGTGGTTGACGTTTATTTTAAGTTAATTTTATGTAAAATCTATTTGCAACGAAAAATTTGTATAACTATTGAAAAACAAACTATCAGAAATTATTATATATTCTTATCACTAGTATTATCAATAGAAATTATTATCAATTGTTAACTTTATAGTTAACTTTATTAGCGAATTCGGCAAGTTATAGATAAGTTTAACTAAAAATGGCTTCATCAGACAAATCTCCTCTTTCGATGATTAGTAAATCTTCCAAATCCAAAATAATCCCAACAGATGTGAATACATCATCAACTAAAGCTAATGAATCTAATAAGCCCAAAAGAGAACCCTTTTTTGGCAAATTTAGATTTTGTATTGCCATTCTTCTTGGATTCACTACTTTTTCTTATACTTCATTAAGAATGAATTTGAGTATGGGAATGGTTGGTTAATTTATAAAAATTATTGTGAAATCCCTCTATAGGATTTCGCTCATATACAGCGAAGCTCCTAGCTGATAGAAGCTCCTAGCCTAGCTGTCTAGGAACTCCCAGCCTAGCCTAGCAGATAGACACTTATACTTGCAGCAAAGAGATTTGATGAATATTTCTCTTAAGGATCCATCTTTTTATAATGATCTATTATTCTCTTATAATGAACTATTCAAGTATAGAGATCGGAACTGTGTCTTGATCCGGATCATTTTTCCGGGAAATTTTACCTGATTTATGTAGGACTTGGGAAGAACCAAATATGAGTACATTTACTGATCCAGGGTTTTTCTAAAATTCTTTTATAATGAAAAACCCATCCCGGGCAAAAAAATTGAATCGTAAACTGCAACAGAAAACAAGATATATCCAATTAAATCTCTGAATTTATCTCAAGTTTAACAATCTACAGGTTTGTATGGTTAATTCAACGGCTATACATTTACGTGAAAGTGCTAACGACAAAAGTTTGAATGAAGAAAATTCGTCATTTAATGAATATGCACATAGAATGCATTTGAAAAATCTGGCATATGCGGAAGAATGTGGTGATCGAGAGATAAAGACAAATATACATAGAAGCTTGGGATATCAAGTAACGACCTAAGGTCCTTCTCTGATCAAAAAATAATTATTATAGGGTTCAATAGAATGGACAGCCTCTGAACAGGCTAGGCTTTTTGCTGCACTATTTTATGGTGGTTTTATAACAATTTGGTTTTCGGGTTATTTGGCTGATAGATTTGGCCCAAAATTTTTGATTGGAATGGCAGTTTTAGATATGTCTGTATGTTCACTCCTTTCTCCAGTGCTAGTTGATCTGAATTATTATGCATTTTTTGTTGCAAGATTCTTGATGGGTCTTGGAGATGTAAGCATTATATATTTAACAAAGGACTTGACAAAAACTTAAATCAGACCGGAATAATACTATCCAGAAAATCCTTAACATTTCGAACACTTAAATGTTTATCTTTCGAATACTGGAGTCTCTAGAATAGACAGATCAGCCATCCGCTGAAAATTTTTAAATACCCTGACACTATTAGACTCGGATCCGACAACCTTAGTGTCGTTGTAGATTAAAAGTTATGCTATATCAGATAAAATCAGTTTACTGTATTTACTCGATTAATTCCCCTGTGGAATTATTTTTTTAACACATCCATAGATGGGGAATTATTCAAGGGAGAGGAATTATTCGAGTATGAAATTTGAACGTAGTAGAGTTTTTGGGGGAGGTGGATTATTGTTCCAACTCATCCGTAGCAGTGGGAATTATTCGAGAGAGGGCTTTTATTCGAGGGAGGGGAATTAATCGAGTAAATACGGTAGGTCCCTTCAGGGTTTCATCTTCCCAACAGTATCATCAGCCAATGCATGTTGGGCACCCCCAGCCGAACGTAGCTTGATGTTCGCAATATCCACATTGGGTAATCAAATAGCTGCAGTTTTTGCTTTGTTGTTTGGATCACAACTTTGTGCCATAAAATTCTTGGACGGATGGAGATTAATTTTTCTTAGTTTTGGTGCCATTGGAATGACAAGCTTTACTTTGTGGACTATTTTCGCTGCAAATAGCCCTGATGAAAGTAGATGGATTGGTACAAAAGAAAAAGAAATGATAACTGCTAGCCTAAAAACTGGGGAATCTGAAAAATCCATTAGCTCTAGAAGAGTAAGATATGTAAAAAAATTTCTCTAAAAATTTAGTTAAATACGGGAAAAGTCCCTTGGAGTAAAATGGCTAGGAGTATACCCTTATGTGCTGGAATTATTGGGCAATTAAACTATTCATTTTGTACAACGTTGTTGCAATCTTATTTACCTACCTATTTGAAGGACTATTTGAAATTGAGTTTAAATGAAGTGATTATTATATTGTTTAGTAGAGATCGAGCTGGGCCTGAACCAAGGCCTGGGTTTTTCCTGTACACGAAGTTCAGGCCCAGGCATTTTTTGACCTTCTCGGGGCTTTCCTGTGCCTGGGCTGGAATACAAGCCCAGGACCCGGCCCAGGCCAATAAAACAAACCCAGAGCCCAGGAACAGGCCCTTGCTTTTCAAAAATCTCGATCTCTATTTTTAGATATTAAAATATGTAGAGGAGTATATTGCAAAACCCGAGGCCGAGTAGCTATAAAGGACAAGAATCAGCAAACTTAACGGTTTGAGAACGAGTACCTGAATTGATTTGAGCTCGCTTAATTAAGTCTAGCCACCGAACGTAAGTGAACATAAGGACCCACAAAATTGACATGACAGGTGCCCAGGAATGTAGATAATAATCTACTGCCGCGCGAATGTAAATAACATCTGGAAGAACTGATAGTTCCAAGTATATTAATTTTTCAATTTTAATTTCAGAATGGTATATATTCAACGATTCCATTTCTCACAATGATATTTTCGAAAATATTCTGCAGCATTATAGCTGATAAACTGCGCAAAAGAAATATATTAACCGATACACAATGCGTTAAATTATTTCAAGCAATTGGTAGTAAAATTTTTAAAGGTCTTTAAAAATTAATTTTAAAGCTAATATTGGGGCAGCTGCATCAGCTTTTTGTATGGCAACATTTGTTACCTGTGGAAATCCACAATTAGCTATAGTGGGTCTTTCAACATGGGGTAATTATTTGGCAATAATCAAGAGATCGAACATATTTAGGAATGAGTTTTGGAGCAAATGCAAGTGGAGTTTTCACTCAACTTTTGTTGATTGCACCTTGTTATAGTGGTCTAATAAGTTCGATAAGCACAGGATTTACCTATGTAGTTAATGGTATTTCTCCAACAATTATATCTGCAATAGTTAAACATGTAATAATTATTCGGGAAATAATGGTATTCTGTTCGGACTAGGTATAAGACTAGAGATGAGATGCTCCGCGGGACTAGGAAAAAGGCTGGAGAGACGTCTCTCATTTTGCTATACTTTTGGATAGGAGTGGGATAGAGTGCCATCCTCGGATATCCCTCTACAGCAGCGATAGAAGGATTAAGATAAGATTTTCAATATTTTCTTTGGGTCGGCTTCGGGTAGGGTCAATTATAAATTTGTCCAAGTAGCTGCTTTTTCGGAGTGTGGAATATCTGTGATTTCGTGGGATTAAAAATATTCGGGGATTTGCAGCGATTAAAATGGATTTGGATCAATTAAGAATCGCACTCATATAACCTTCCAAATCACTTGATATCCTAGATATATTTTTAAATCATTCGATATCTCTCCTTAATTCCAGTCCCCCCATATTCTCCTATCTAATCAAATCAACCGATATCTCCTCAAGAATATAAGCAATCAGATTCTATTAATCATATTTTATAAATTTTTTTTATCATTATTAAGGGGTCACCTTCGGAGTGGAGAACGATTTGGTATATTCTCTTTGGATCTAACCTATTTTGCGCGGCATTTTTTATCCTTTTTGCTTCTGGTAGTTGCAAAATTTAATTTAAATTTAATAAAATATATTAGGAAAACAACAGGAATGGGCAGACGTTGCAGAACTACATAAGCCGAAACTAAACACGAATTGAAGAATGTCAAACTGATTAAAGATAATTTGAACAATAATATTATATAATTATTATTGTTAATTTATTAAATATGTGCTTTAATTATATTCTCATAAAATTATTAATGATTTAATTAAAATATGTAACTAGCTTGTACGGCGTATTACTACTGTCTCTAGCGGTTTTGTAAAATATGAAATTACGTTTTAATAAAATATTTTTTCATTATTTCTAAAATATTGACTCCAATATCCATTCTCAGATCCAATTGACTATTATTTTTGTAGAAATCCTCATAATACCCCAACGAACGAGGATCAAACAACTTTGTAAGACTAATACTTCAAGACCACTGGTATAATGCATAAAATCCAGCAAACGCTGGTTGTACCCTGATTGGTCAAGCTAATTGGTCGGTCAGATTAACCTTACCCTGGTTGATTAGGTTTCTCATCAGTAAAGTTGAGTTATTCCATACATTATTGAGTTATCTTCAATTATATGAAAATCATTGATTAATATTAAATAAATTTTTAAACAACCTTCCCATTAATTTTTTAGATGTAAATTGGTCAGAATTAGCCGATTAGAAAATTTATTTCTTGACTTAGTTTGAAAAGAATTTATACATAGGTAAATCGACTCAGAAATCGGAAGTTTGAAATCGGAGTTCCGATTTCCTCTGCTAGCAAACAAAAATAATTTATTTTTTAATGTACAACAAAAAATAATTGCAATATAATAATATTTTATTAAAAACAAAAACTTTTCGAAAATAAATTTATGCAAATTATTAACGTTATAGTCTAAATACATATGTACAGCAAAGTATATTTAACATTTAATCTGGGGAATTTATCAGTGGGAAATTTCCCGATAATATGAAAATCTGCATAAAAATTATTTGCGGAAAAAAATAAAAATTTAATGAGGAGATGATAGTCTTGATTAAAGATGTACATCATTAAAGATGTGTCAAACATAAAGGGTGGGATTTAGGGAATTAATTCTTATATTGTAGACTATAAATCAAAACAATCCGAACAATGTATCAGAACGTTCTCCTTCATTAGCTCACACCTCCTATTCTTATCATTTAGCCCATTTCTTTGTCCGATTTATTCTAATAATAAAATTTAAAAACGGACTGATAGTGGATGTTTGTTGGAATAAATTTCACAGTTCATGAATATGAGCAAGCCAATCCACCGGAGGTAGGTAGGAGATAAAGTATGTGCCGGAACTTGGAACTGTCGGAGATCAGAATTCTAATTGAACTTGTAACAATCGACCTACTTTTTAGAACCGATCTCCGAAGAAGCTCAGTTATTCGGGCGCATTTATGTAGGGATCCGAGGGCTACCGTTAAGGCCTTTAGGTATTCATGCTCGGGAGTTAAAAAGCCAAGAATTGAAACCAAGACCGGGAAACAACACCGAGACCGAGACCTGATCGAGAGTCGAGAGAGAGGAGAAGCCCCAACTGAGCTTTTCTGGAGATTGGTGGTTCTAATAAAGGGTCCTTAGTTATAATTCCTGTTATTTCTGTAATAATTTTTTTCCTCAAAATCCGCAATTTAAAAATTGTAATAATTTTGAAATAAAAAAGTGTAATACATTATTATTTATTTTGACAAAATATTATGGGTGGTTGACGTAAATATCTATTTACGTTTATGTAAATTTTATTTCCAACAAAAAAATTTTTCATTTTTTCAACAAATGAAAAACATGCGAAAAAAAACTTTAAAAAATAATTTTTATTATTCAAATTCTTGTTATTTTTACTTTTTTCCACGTTTTTACGTTTTAAAAAAATAATGTTTGACGACAATTACACAAGTTTTAATGTTAAATATAACAATAAAAATTTTTAGTTATCAAATTAGACACGTTTAAAAGGATGATTAATCTCTCAACTTTCGTCTTTCAACTTGCCTAAAAAGTTTTATTAGCGAGGAGAAAAAATATATTTCCTCATTTTTATTATTAAAAAGTCTTAAAGGAATTTCTAAGAATTTTAAATAAAAATTATTTTACAAATGATTCATTTTATTTTATAATAACTAAACTTATTTTAATGATTTATACGCTCAAATTTTATGAATTAATTGGTTTAAAAATTTATTAATATTTATTAAATATATTTAATATTTCTAAATATTTTGATAAGGATATAGCGAGAGAGAATCTTTCCGGAATTTTTACACTAGTTAATCAAAAGTACATAATTAGATGGTCCATGATTAGATGGTTCAAGGTTAAAAACCTATGAAGGCCCTAGGATTTAAGAACATCTCTCCTCTCGGGACGTGCCATCAGGTCAAAAGACCTCTTAGTCCACGATTAGATTATTCCAGGTCAGAAGCCTCTGAAGGCCCTAGGATTCAAGAACATCTCTCCTCTCGGGACGTGCCATCAGGTCAAAAGACCTCTTAGTCCACGATTAGATGGTCCAAGGTTAGAAGCCTCAAAGGTCCGCGGATTCAAGAACATCTCTCCTCTCTAAGCACGTGCCACCGGCTTAGTGCCATGCCATAGAATCCGGGGCAGTTAATTCTTAGCTCTACATAAAAATGGAAAATGCTACCATACTTTAGAGCAAATGATTGAAAACTTGATAAAATAATATAAATATCATTTAATTTTTAGATATTATTCATAATTAAAATTTAGAAAATAATTCTAAATTTATTAGAGGATTTAGTAACATATAGTTAAATTATGGCTTCATCAGATAAATCTCCTCTTTCAACTGTTAGTAAATCTTCACAATCAAAAATAATTCCAACAGATGTGAATACATCAACAACTAAAGCTAATGAATCTAAAAAACCCAAAAGAGAACCCTTTTTTGGCAAATTTAGATTTTGTATTGCAGTTCTTCTTGGATTTACTACCTTTTCTTATACTTCATTAAGAATGAATTTAAGTATGGGAATGGTTGGTAAATTTATAAAAGTTCATAAAATTAATAAAGGCCGATGAAGAGAGCCCTAGTTGATAGAATTTTCTCATAAAAGCTATCTCTCTCTCTCTATCTCTCTATCTCAGTTCAACATATCTATCTATCTCCCACACTTTTTCCCTCTCTCTTTTTTTCCCTCTCTCTCTTCTTTCCCTCTCTCTCTCTTTCCATTTCTCTCTTCTTTCCCTCTCTCTCTTCTTTCCCTCTCTCTCTCTTTCCATTTCTCTCTTCTTTTCCTCTCTCTCTCTTTCCCTCTCTCTCTTTCCCTCTCTCTCTTTCCATTTCTCTCTCTTTCCCTCTCTCTCTTTCACTCTTTACCTCTCTCTCTTTCATTCTCTCTATCTCTCTCTCTTTCCCTCTCTCTCTCTTTGCCAGCCAAAATAAAGTTTGGCTGGGTCTAGAACTGGACTAGCTTGCCGGGCATCTTTTTCGGCTTTATCCATACTGCGAGGAACAAATAATCACGGTTCTGTCATTTCCTCGTAATGTAAAAACCGATTTAGAAATTTGGCCATAGTATTGAAAAAATCTCATTATTTCCACAAATAAACCTAAGAATTACCTACAGGTTTGCATGGTTAACTCAACGGCCATACATTTACGGGACAATGATAATGCTGAAGTTTCAAATGGAAAAAATACATCTTTCAATGATTATGCACATAAAATACATTTGAAAAATCTTGCATATGCTGAAGAATGTGGTGATCGGGAGATAAAAACAAATATACACAGAAACTTGGGATATCAGGTAGAAATCTGAGATCAAACTCTAGTCGACATTGATCAAAAAATAAATATTATAGGGTTCAATAGAATGGTCAGCCTCAGAACAAGCTAGGCTTTTCGCCGCACTATTTTACGGTGGTTTTATAACAATTTGGTTTTCGGGCTATTTGGCTGATAGATTTGGCCCAAAGCTTTTGATTGGAATGGCAGTTCTAGATATGTCTGTATGCTCACTCCTTTCTCCAGTGCTAGTTGATCTGAATTATTATGCATTTTTTGTTGCAAGATTCCTGATGGGTCTTGGAGATGTAAGTTTATATCTTGACCCAGAGCATGAATGTTAACACAAACCATGAATGCTAAAGGCCTTACACGGCACCCTTCGGATCCCACATACATGAGTCCTAATAAATGAGTTTCAATGGAGATCGGTGCTGATGTCAGACCAGAAAAGTTATGGATATCTTGACATCTATCTAATCCGGATCCAAAGACCCGAGAGTTATTAGTATATGTATCAAATGGGAATGCTTTCGGATTCCATAATAATTTACTTTAGGGCTTCATCTTCCCAACAGTAGCATCAGCCAATGCACGATGGTCACCCCCAGCAGAACGCAGCTTGATGTTCGCAATATGCACGTTGGGTAACCAAATAGCTGCCGTCGTTGCTCTTTTACTTGGATCACGACTTTGTGCCATACAATTTTTGGACGGATGGAGATTAATTTTTCTTAGTTTTGGTAAATTTATAAAATTTTGCCAAAATGTGCAATAAATTTAAAAAATCAAAAGGTGCCATTGGAATGACAAGCTTTACTTTATGGACTATTTTCGCTTCAAATAGTCCCGATGAAAGTAGCTGGATTGGTTTAAAAGAGAAACAAATGATAACTGCTAGCCTAACAGCAGGAGGATTTAGAAAATCTATCAGCTCTAGAAGAGTAATTCTTCCAAAAATATTATATTCTAAAAATTATTTAGTTAAATACCGGAAAAGTTCCTTGGAGTAAAATGGCTAGGAGTTTACCTTTATATGCTGGCATAATTGGACAAGTAAATTGTCAATTTTGTACAATGGTGCTGCAATCTTATTTGCCTACTTATTTAAAAGAATATTTGAAATTGAGTTTAAATGATGTAAGTACGATATCTTTTGATTATATACTATGTTCCGAGTATTTTGAAACTTAGAGCTCAAGCGGCAATAAGGCCTGAGCCTAGCATAGTAAAACACTAGCGCTTAAGTACGGGTATTCGAATTCTTCGAGCTCCCTGCTCTAGTTTAGAGAGTATTTTGGAAAGCCGAGCTCGAGTAGTACTGACTGGGTTCGTGTATTACTGCCCCTACCCCAAGCTTGAATTGTAATAAGTACTGGAACTAGTTGAGTCCGCTTAGTCTAGTTTAAAAATAAAACAAAAACTGAATCTTTGAGCAAATGAACTGGGCTTGTCAGAAGCCCATACGAAACCATACTTAGGATTGCGCCAGGTACCATCGCATGTGACAGTGAAACCATAGCCTCATTTAAATAAGGATGCCAAACATCGACAATTTAATCTCAATTTCAGAACGGAATATATTCAATGCTTCCATTTCTCTCAATGATATTTTCAAAAATATTCTTCAGCATTGTAGCCGACCAACTTCGCAAGAGAAATAAATTAACGGATACACAAAGTGTTAAATTATTTCAAGCAATTGGTACATAATAAAACGAAAGATTTTCATAAAAATTTAATTTTAAAGCCAATATTGGGGCGGCAACCTCAGCTTTTTGTATGGCAAAATTTGTTACTTGCAGTAATCCACAATTAGCTATTGTGTTCCTTTTAACATGGGGTAATCAACACTATGATAATTATGAGACCTTTCTCATTTAGGAATGAGTTTTGGAGCAAACGCTAGTGGATTCTTCACTCAACTTTTGCTAATTGCACCTCGTTATAGTGGTCTAATAAGTTCGATCAGTACAGGATTTACATATGCAGTTAATGGTATTTCTCCATCAATTATCTCAGCGATCATTAAACATGTGAATAATTTTTAGACAAATACATAATGATATTCCGTTCGCGTAGGAAGATGGAGGGAAAGGACATGTTAGGCTCGGAATAAGAATAAGTTGGGAAATGAATGTCCCGTTCGGATTAGGAGATAAGCTGGAGAGAACATCCCTCGTTCGGACTAGGGTAGGCTAGTGAGTCCCTTTCGGACTAGGAGGTAGATTGGAGATAACATGGCTCATTCGGAATAGGAGTCTCTCGTAGGACTATGAGCATCCCTCGTAGGACTATGAGCTAGGAGATAGTTCGGACTGGGAGATAAGCTGGAGAGAACAGTTCTCGTTTTAATTAGGGGTAGGCTAGCATGTCCCTTTCAGCCTAGGAGGTAGATTGGAGATAACATGGTACCTTCGGAATAGGAATTGGCTAAAGGGATGTATTTATCTTCAGACTAAAAATAAAACTGGAGAGAGAATCTCTCGTACGACTAGGAAATAAACTGACATTAATATCTCACCTCGGACTATGAGTAGGCTCGAGAAAACGTGTCACATTCGGATAAGATGTATTTGGAAGAAGCAAATCCTTTTTGTAAATATTCTATAAATTTAAGGGAGCCCCTTCAGAGTGGAGAACGATTTGGTATATTCTCTTTGGATCTAACCTATTTTGTGCGGCATTTTTTATCCTTTTTGCTTCTGGTAGTTTCAAAATTAAGTTAAATTTAATAAAATATAATAGGAAAACAACAAAAATGGGCCGATGCTGCAGAACTAAGTCGAAGCGAAACACGAACAGAAGATTGCCAGACTGATTGAACATAAGTTAAAAAATAACACTAAATTAGTGTTATTTTATAATTAATTTTGTGCCCTACATTTATTTTTATAAAATTAAAAATTTGTGGTTTAATTAAAAAAAGTTACGATGATTCATTGAGGATTTGTTCATAATCTACGACAGCCTTGTAGTCATTTCTAAGCGCTTTCGCGCTTAGAATTCGCCCACCATATGCAGGAACTACCGGGCATATGCAGGAAATACAGGGGCATATGCAGGAACTACCGGGGCATATGCAGGAAATATCGGGGCATATGCAGGAAATACCGGGGCATATGCAGGAACTACCGGGGCATCAAGTAATGCTTACACTTGTAAAGCATAGAGCTATTTAATTCCTAAGGCTGTGCAGTAGGCGGCGTGGTGTAATGGCTAACACATCAGTCCGGTCTACTGAAGATGCTGGATCGCTCGCAGCCGCCGAATAACCTTCAGTACTAGCTAAAAAAGAGAAATAGCTATAGTCCAGCTGATTTACTCTCTTTTATCCTTTTAGATCGTTTAACCACCGCTTAATCGTTTTAAATGCTACTAGGTGAATCATCCTGACATTATTAAGAATCTAATGATGATTTTATCGGAAATAATTTTATAAAAAATTATAGTAATTTAATTGACTAAATTAGTTTAATAATGATTTACATTTATTAATTTATCGAAAAAATTTAATTTTTATTCTGTCATTAACGCTAATTTGTTTAATTATTTATACTTAATTAGATGTCAAGTTTACGATTTTTTATTAAATATTTTCAAATTTTGTACGTTTGCATTGTCATAGGTAATTGAATTTTAAAATACGGGTTCTAAAGAGGCAACAAAACATGGAGGTTAAAAGATTCAACAAATACTGAAAATAAGGCTTCAGTCATGGGAGATTCATTCGAGTAAAACCACTCGGTAGAAGGAATTTCGGGATAATTGTGAAGAGAATTAGTAGACATATCGGGAAGATTCAACTTAACTTTTCAACCTTGAAAGTTTAGGTAATCTAAACACAGGGACTTTACTAAAATTCAAATCAGTTAAAATAATTCAATTTTCAAGAAGTTCCCCTCATCGTTTCAATGTTTTCATCTACGTTTATCGCACCAGAAGAATGGAGTATGGACAATTCAACTAATACTCCTTTTTATTACGGTATGTTTAATTGAAAGAATTATTAGGCTAACTCAAATATTTTCAAGATGCCCATCGTTGTGGAATGCCAATCAAACTTGATGTAATTTTTTAAATTTAAATTTTTAAGAGGGGAGAGTGGGGGGAGCTCGAAATGCAATAAAATATCAAAATAACCTTCACAGCTTTTACATACTATATTAAATATTAAGAATCAGGGATATCTCCGTAGAGAGAAGAGATTTCGTCCTCCACATCTCAGACATCACCGACGACACTTTAACAAGACACGCGAACATGTACATAGAAAAATGATGGGTGGGTATGAAGTGGAAGAAGGCGATTTACCATGGGCTGTAACTATACATAAAATTTATCAGGAGCATAAAGCTACCTGTTCTGGCACTCTCATTTCAAGACGTCATGTAATAACAGCAGCACATTGCTTTGCTAAACCTGGAACCGAAAAGGAGGAGGCTGAAAGATGCATGTAGGTTTTCTGGGTGGTGTAAGTAGGTTACTAGGGATCGGGGGTTTACTGGACCTATGGGGTTCGGATCGGAGTCGTTGACAAAACAGCGTCAGGGTTTCGGGGACCGTGATGCTATCCATTCAAAAGTCAAAATAATTCAAAAGATTTTGAGGAAATAAATTAAAATTTTGAATAAAATTCAGTTCATACTCACACAATGCAATCCCAGAGGAAGAGGTCGCAAAATACCGTACAACTTATATAGGCTCAATCTGCACTAAAGCAAATAATACTATGGGTGAATGTAAATCTAATAGACAGCAAAAACGATTTAATATTAAAAAGTAATTAGTTAATCCTTCTCAATAAAATTTATTTTTAAAAGGGCAAAATATTCGCATTATTTTGATTCAGAATGTCATTTGGGTGAATCTGATGGTATAATAGTAAAGCTAAAATAATTTATAGGTGATTTTGCTCTCCTGGAATTGGAAGAGGATGTTCCTGCTTCTATAGCAAATCATATAGTAAACTATTATAACTAGGACCATTTACCCTTTAAGAGTGCACCAGGGTGTGCCAGTTTCGCGTTTCACCTTTCTCGGATTTTAACGTTTTTTGGACTTTCGTTCTGGTTTGCACTAGGAATGGGCACCTCACAATCTCATAATAATGGAACACAAAAACAAAACAAGAGACGTAAGACTAAAGCGGAAGTGCAATAAAGACCAAAATAGATCGGAAGAGTTCCCGTCCTTCGTGTTCTCAAGGGAAACAATTATTATGCCTAAATATAATTCGATTTTAAGTGCTTGTTGAATCTTCATCCAACTACTCGATTAATTGACTGGCATTCAGATTCTAGACCTGTAATAGCCTATGGATGGGGAACAGATCGTAATTTTAATGTTGTATTAAACATTTGAATATTGTTTAAGCAACTCTTTGTACTGGGCGTGGACTAACTGAGGACGAATTATACAATTGTTTTAAGCAAGCCCAAGCACAACTTCATTTACTTGTATTACCTGGAATTTGGAGAGATCATGAATGTAGAACAACACTGGAACGTGAAGCTCCAGAATGGCAAAAAGAAATTAGCGAGAGAAAAGATATTTTTTGTACTATGGAGAAAAATGAAGGATCTGTTTGTTCCGTATGTAATTAATAGGGTGCGGAAGAATATTTTGCATGTTTTGCCGCACCCTGTAATTTATAATAAAATCAAAATTCATTTAAATCAAAGGGAGATAGTGGAGGAGGTCTTATTGGACAATTTGAAGATGCCAGTTTTGGCGGGGGAAAAAGATGGTTTCTTCTTGGCATCGTTTCATTCGGAATACCTTGTGACGATGCGCATCTAGGATATATGGAACCTGGTGCTCAGGCTAGTCTGATTTAAAACATATTCCATTTAGTTAAAGCAATTAAGGGTGGTTTTTTGAGTTATATGCCTTTTAAAGGAGATTCTCTAGACGTAAAACTGTTTGATAGTTCCTCTACAGTATCTTCGGAACTTGTAGTTGAACAGAAAATCTTTGTTTGTCAGAGATTTTCAATTCTAGATATAAACACCGCTTAGTAAGGACCTTCAGGGTATGCATATGTCTCAAATGAATTCCTATTAGGGGATTCTTTATGCACATGAACAAGTTTGTTGTTCCCTGTACTGAATATCCGAAAGTTGTATTTGAAGTAGTATTCGGAACAGGTATTCGGGTCTTTTTAAGGAATCCATAACCTCATATATCCACAAAATTTACATTCTAATAAATTTTTATTTAATTTAAGGGACATACAAGTGTCGCTTACCATAGCAAACAAATAATTAAATGGATATATGGAGATACGGATATATTGCCGCCTCTGGAAAAACAATCTAAGGTGAATAATATAAATGTTTCGGTCTAAATTTTACTATATCTTAATAGGAGGAATTAGAATATGGACAATTCGAGAACCTAGAAGTTGATAAATGTAAATGAAAATAGTGTGATTATCTATCTGTTGATTAAACTTTTTCAATAAATATTTTTATGAATTTTTCTTGTTAAATTTATTCAAAAATTAATTAAAACAAATAAAAATTTTTTTACAGAAGACAGTAAGGCATAAGTATCATTCACCGCGTAATATTCACGCTTCTTTCGACGGAAGTAAAAGCTATACAATATTATTGCTATTGCAAAAAGTAGAGTGATCAAGAGGCCCTAGTCTTGTCCGAATAATCCAGGCTTAGAGCAGATCAAATTTCGATAAAAAAATACCTTAGGCAAGGATAATAGGATTTCAATGTGCTCGGAATTTCTTAATTTTCAGTAACCTGACTTTAATTATAATTAATAGTGTTGATTTATAATGAAGTTAAAAACCCCTACATTTATTTATATAAAATTAAAAAATTTAGTGATTTAATTAAAAATTCACCGAGTATGATTCATGGGGAAATGTTTAAAATTATAAATTTAATAATGATTTGATCAGAATTTTTCTCATCAATTTAATGGACTAAATTATTTTTAATAGCACTTTATATTTATTAATCTATTTAAAAAATAATTTTATTCGGACATTAATTAGATGTCAAGTTTAGGATTTTTTATTAAATACTTGCAAATTTTCTACTTTTGCAATGTCATGGGTAATTGAATTTTAAAATAAAAAAAGGTTCACTCCAAGGAGAGGATGTATTCGAGTTGTGAGTCTCTGTACTCATTTAACTCTCATGTTAAGTAAAAAAGGATTATTGGACCTATGGGATTATAACAAACGTAAAACTGAATTATTTAAATTAGTCAACACAAATAATTCATTTTCGAAAATCCATACCTGAGGGCTCTTTCCTATAATTCATATCAGAATACTTTAATGTTAATCAAGTTCCTCTCATCGTTTCAATGTTTTCCTCTACATTTTACGCACAAGAACAATGGAGTTTGGATAATCCAACTAATACTCCTTTTTATTACGGTATGTTTAAATGTCACAATTATTAGGCTAAATTCAAATATTCTCAAGATGCCCATCGTTGCGGAATGCCAATCCATTTTGATGTAATTTTTTAATTTAAATTTTGGAGGGGGAGGGGGGGGGGGGAAGCTCGAAATAGAAGAATAAAAATCCTAAATATTTATTAAGAATCATGGATATGTCCTTAGAGAGAAGAGATTTCGTCCGCCACATCTCCGGCATCACCGACGACACTTCAACAAGACACGCGAACATGTACATAGAAAAATGATGGGTGGGTATGACGTAGAAGAAGGCGATTTACCATGGGCTGTAACTATACATAAAATTTATCAGGAGCATAAAGCTACCTGTTCTGGCACTCTCATTTCAAGACGTCATGTAATAACAGCAGCACATTGCTTTGCTAAACCTGGAACCGAAAAGGAGGAGGCTGAAAGATGCATGTAGGTTTTCTGGGTGGTGTAAGTAGGTTACTAGGGATCGGGGGTTTACTGGACCTATGGGGTTCGGATCGGAGTCGTTGACAAAACAGCGTCAGGGTTTCGGGGACCGTGATGCTATCCATTCAAAAGTCAAAATAATTCAAAAGATTTTGAGGAAATAAATTAAAATTTTGAATAAAATTCAGTTCATACTCACACAATGCAATCCCAGAGGAAGAGGTCGCAAAATACCGTACAACTTATATAGGCTCAATCTGCACTAAAGCAAATAATACTATGGGTGAATGTAAATCTAATAGACAGCAAAAACGATTTAATATTAAAAAGTAATTAGTTAATCCTTCTCAATAAAATTTATTTTTAAAAGGGCAAAATATTCGCATTATTTTGATTCAGAATGTCATTTGGGTGAATCTGATGGTATAATAGTAAAGCTAAAATAATTTATAGGTGATTTTGCTCTCCTGGAATTGGAAGAGGATGTTCCTGCTTCTATAGCAAATCATATAGTAAACTATTATAACTAGGACCATTTACCCTTTAAGAGTGCACCAGGGTGTGCCAGTTTCGCGTTTCACCTTTCTCGGATTTTAACGTTTTTTGGACTTTCGTTCTGGTTTGCACTAGGAATGGGCACCTCACAATCTCATAATAATGGAACACAAAAACAAAACAAGAGACGTAAGACTAAAGCGGAAGTGCAATAAAGACCAAAATAGATCGGAAGAGTTCCCGTCCTTCGTGTTCTCAAGGGAAACAATTATTATGCCTAAATATAATTCGATTTTAAGTGCTTGTTGAATCTTCATCCAACTACTCGATTAATTGACTGGCATTCAGATTCTAGACCTGTAATAGCCTATGGATGGGGAACAGATCGTAATTTTAATGTTGTATTAAACATTTGAATATTGTTTAAGCAACTCTTTGTACTGGGCGTGGTTTACTGGGGTAGGGGGTTACCGGGGATCAGGGCTTTCTGTGGTAGGGAGGTTACTAGGGATCAGGGGTTTACTGGGGTAGTGCTTTCGGGCTTCGGATCGGAGTCTTTCCTAGAACAGCGTCAGGGTTTTGGGGACAAGGATGCTATCAATTCTAAAATCAACATAATCCAAAAGATCTAATTGGCAGCATATATAAATTAAAAATAGCAACGACATTTTGAAGAAATAAATTAAAATTTTGAATAAAATTCAGTTCATACTCACACAATGCAATCCCAGAGGAAGAGGTCGCAAAATACCGTACAACTTATATTGGCTCAATCTGCACTAAAGCAAATAATACTATGGGTGAATGTAAATCAAATAGACAACAGAGACGATTTAATATTAAAAAGTAATGAGATTATCCTTTTTATAAAATCTTATTTTTATAATTCAGGGCAAAATATTCACATTTTTTTGACTCAGAATGTCATTTCGGTAAATCTGATAGAATAATACATAGTAAAGCTAAAATAATTTATAGGTGATTTTGCTCTGTTGGAATTGGAAGAGGATGTTCCTGCTTCTATAGCAAATCATATAGTAAATTATTATAACTAGGACCATTATCCCTTACTAAGTGTGCACCAGGGTTGTCAGTTTCGCGTTTCACTTTTCGCGGATTTTCGCGTTTTTTGGATTTTCGTTCTGGGGACGGGCACCTCACAATCTCATAATAATGGAACACAAAAACAAAACAAGAGACGTAAGACTAAAGCGGAAGTGCAATAAAGACCAAAATAGATCGGAAGAGTTCCCGTCCTCGTGTTCTCTAGGGAAACTATTATTATGTCTAAATAGAATTCGATTTTAAGTGCTTGTTGAATCTCCATCCAACTACTCGATTAATTGACTGGCATTCAGATTCTAGACCTGTAATAGCCTATGGATGGGGAACAGATCGTAATTTTAATGTTGTATTAAACATTTGAATATTGTTTAAGCAACTCTTTGTACTGGGCGTGGACTAACTGAGGACGAATTATACAATTGTTTTAAGCAAGCCCAAGCACAACTTCATTTACTTGTATTACCTGGAATTTGGAGAGATCATGAATGTAGAACAACACTGGAACGTGAAGCTCCAGAATGGCAAAAAGAAATTAGCGAGAGAAAAGATATTTTTTGTACTATGGAGAAGAATGAAGGATCTGTTTGTTCCGTATGTAATTAATAGGGTGCGGAAGAATATTTGCTGTTTTGCCACACCCTGTAATAAATAATAAAATAGAATTTATTTAAATCAAAGGGAGATAGTGGAGGAGGTCTTATTGGACAATTTGAAGATGCCAGTTTTGGCGGGGGAAAAAGATGGTTTCTTCTTGGCATCGTTTCATTCGGAATACCTTGTGACGATGCGCATCTAGGATATATGGAACATGGAGCCCAGGCTAGTCTGATATAAAAATACTTATATTCCTTTTGTTAAGGCAACTAGGGGTATTTTTTGAGTCAGGTATATGTCTTTTGAGGGAGATTATCTAGGCTTTAAACTGTTTGGTAGTTCCTCTACAGTATCTTCGGAACTTGTAATTGAACAGAAAATCTGTATTATCTGAGGTTCTAGATATAGACGTCGCTTAGTTAGGCCCCTCAGGGTATATTTATGTCTCATATGAATTACTGTTATGGAATTCTTCGGAACTTGTAGTTAAACAGAAAGTTCTTTGTTTAGATATACAGAAATTTTTTTGTTTAACAGACGTTTTCAATTCTAGATATAAACACCACACAGTAGTTCCTCAGGGTATGTGTCTCATATGAATTCCTGTTAAGGGAGTCTTTATGCACATGAACACGGTTGTTGTTCCCTGTACTGGATATCCTAAAATTTGATTTGAAGTGGTATTCGGAACAGGTTTTTAGGCAAGGTCTTTTTAAGCAAGATCTTTTTAATCTCGAAATCCAATAAAATCTTCCATTCACTAATAAATTATCAATTGATTCAAGGGACATGTTAGTGTCGCTTACCATAGCAAAGAAATAATTAATTGGATAAAGGGAGGTATGGATATATTGCCACCGGTGGAAAAACATTCTAAGGTGAATTACAAAAATTTTTCGGTTTAAATTTTGCTATATTTTAATAGGAGGAATTAGAATATGGCCAATTCGAGAATCTAGAAGTTGATAAATGTAAATGAAAATTTGTGATTATATATCTGTTGATTAAACTTTTTCAATAAATTTTTTTTCGAATTCTTGTCAAATTTATTCAAAAACTAATTAAAACAAATAAAAATTTTTTTACAGAAGACAGTAAGGCATAAGTATCATTCACCGCGTAATATTCACGCTTCTTTCGACGGAAGTAAAAGCTATACAATATTATTGCTATGGCATAAAGTAGAGAGATCAAGAGGCCCGAGTCTTTTCCCAATCATCCAAGCTTATTCAGGATCCAATTTCGATAAAAAATATCTTAGGCAAGGGTATAGCATGTTAATGTGCTCGACATTTCTCAATTTTCAGTAACCTGACCTTAATTATAATTAATAGTGTTATTTATAATGAAGTTGACCCTACTTTTATTTATATAAAATTAAAAAATTTAGTGATTTAATTAAAAATTCAACGAGTATGATTCATGGGGAAATTGTTTAATATTATAAATTCAATAATGATTTGATTAACAAATTTTCATTAATTTAGTGGACTAAATTATTTTTAATAGTAATTTATACTTATTAATCTATTCAAAAAATAATTTTATTCGGACATTAATTAGATGTCAAGTTTACGATTTTTTATCAAATACTTTCAAATTTTTTACTTTTGCAATGTCATGGGTAATTGAATTTTAAAGTAAAAAAAGGCTCACTCAAAAGAGAGGATGTATTCGAGTTGTAAGCATTGTTTGGAAGCTCGTACCAAAATTCGGACTCGTTACGAAGTACGGATACTAGGAAATTACAAAATTCAAACACTGATGATGTGTATCAGTACCCATTTAAACTTATGTTAAGTAAAAACAGGATTATTTGACGTATAACAATAAAGATTGAATTATTTAAATTATTCAGCTTAAATAATTTAATTTCGAAAATCCATACCAGGGGGTTCTTTGCTATAATTCAAATCAGAATACATACATTAATTTTTAAGAAGTCCCTCTCATCGCTTCAATGTTTACCTCTACATTTTACGCACCAGAACAATGGAGTATGGACAATTCAACTAATACTCCTTTTTATTACGGTATGTTTAAATGTCACAATTATTAGACCAAGTTCAAAATATTTAAGATGCCCATCGTTGTGGAATGCCAATCCATTTTGATGTAATTTTTAAATTTAATGTTCTAGGAGAAGGGGGGGGGCAATATGTGGGAGAATCGTTACTTCCTCAATATTTATTAAGAATCATGGATATGTCCGTAGAGAGAAGAGATTTCGTCCTCCACATCTGAGACATCACCGTCGACGCTTCAACAGGACACGGGAACATGTACATAGAAAGATGATGGGTGGGTATGACGTAGATGAAGGCGATATGCCATGGGCTGTATCTATACATGCAATTTATGGGGGAATTGGTGAATTCTAAATTATTTTTAAATGAAAAAATGATTAAAAAATATAGATTTTGCTTTCTGTTCTGGGACTCTTATTTCGAGACGTCATGTAATAACGGCAGCTCATTGCTTTTCTAAATATGTAAATGTGCCGGACGATGTTGAAGAATGCACGTAGGTTACGAAGCCCTGCTCTAATAAAATAGATTCAGTAGTTTCTATAGAGTTCTAGTACCTTAAGTCGATAGCTCGTGTTTTGGTGGATTTACCTCATGAGATTTTCTGGCTATTAGACACTAGGTCTCGATTTTACAAATAGTATTGTTTTTGATATTTTCCATCAACTATATCTTAAATTATTTTTCCAAAATAGAGTAGGTAGTGGCTCTAGTTTACTATGGTAAACTAGAGGCTATTATAACTACGGTAGATCTCATTCCATTCTGGGTCAATTCAAGGATCGGGGTTTGCTTGGTTAAGTCCTTCGGTGTTTGGTTCTGGATTTTTGCCAAAGATTAATGGTATTTCGGGCGACGGGGTGCTACCGTATCAAAAACAGCCCAACATGATCCAAAGGATCGCGTTGGCAATGATTCTGACTTGAAAGAACTCAGCAGGTCCGACTCGAAATAAGCACAATGAATTAAATAGGGCTTTGTCCCGAATTGGAGAGAGCAACAAGAATTCAGTAGCTTTGAGTTCATACTTATTTAGTTCATACTCACTCAATGCAATCAAAGAAGAAGAAATTGGAGAATACCACGCAGCTTATATCGGCTCAATCTGCACTAAAGCGAATAATACTAAGGGTGCATGTAAATCTAATAGACAACAGAGACGATTTAAAATTAAGAAGTAAAATGAGTCTATTTGAATAAAATCTTAATTTTGAAATTTAGGGCAAAATATTCAAGATTTTTTGATTCACAATGTGTCGGTAATGATTTTGCTCTCTTGGAATTGGAAGAGGATGTTCCCGCGTCCATAGCAAATCATATAGTAAATTACATTATTAATAGATATTAAAAGTCGGAGCTAATTTAAGTGCTTGTTGAATCTCCATCCAACTACACGTTTAATTGACTGGCATTCGGATTCTAGACCTGTGTTAGCTTATGGATGGGGAGCAAATCGTAAATTTTATAGCGATAAAATCAGTGTTTCAAAATTTGAAACTCGTGCTCATGTATCGTATTAAACGAAACTCTATCCCTCGTATTTTACCCATTATACTCCGTGTCATCCTAAACTCTTTCCCTCATATTCTACCTTGTGTACTCCGTATCACCCTCAACTCTTTCCCTCATATTCTACCCTGTGTACTCCGAAACACCCTAAACTCTTTCCCTCATATTCTACCCTGTGTACTCCGTGTCATCCTAAACTCTTTCCCTCATATTCTACCTTGTGTACTCCGTATCACCCTCAACTCTTTCCCTCATATTCTACCCTGTGTACTCCGAAACACCCTAAACTCTTTCCCTCATATTCTACCTTGTGTACTCCGTATCACCCTCAACTCTTTCCCTCATATTCTACCCTGTGTACTCCGAAACACCCTCAACTCTTTCCCTTGTATTCCACTTTGTGTACTCCGTGTCACCCTCAACACTTTCCCTCGTATTCTTCCCTGTATACTCCGTATCACCCTTAACTCCTTACCTCGTATTCTACCTTGTATACTCCGTATCACCCTTAACTCTTTCACTCGTATTATGCCCTGTATACTCCGTATCACCCTTAACTCTTTCCTTCGTATTCCACCTTGTATTAGGTACAAACAGAAGTACCGTAACAACAGCCCTTATAAATATTCACGAATGTTATATTAAGCAAGTAATTGTAGACGTGGGGATAAAGAATGTTATAAGGTACAACAAGCACAGCTTAATTTACTCGTACTACCTGGGATTTGGAGAGATCATGAATGTAAAGAATCATTGAATAAAGCATATGTAGACGGTCAAGATGTTTCTGATATAAAGGATATTCTTTGTACTATGGAGAAGTCTGACGGAGCTGTTTGTTCCGTATGTAAATATGTAAAAGGAGAATTATAATTTATTTTAATTAAAGGGGGACAGTGGAGGAGGTCTAATTGGGCAATTCGAAGACGCCAGTTTTGGTGGGGGAAAACGATGGTTCCTTCTCGGTGTTGTATCATTCGGTACACCTTGTCAAAATACTCATTTCGGATATGCTAGTCCTAATTCTCAGGCTAGTTTGCTTTCAAGAAGATAATTCGGCTCGGGCAATTTAAGAGGTTATACGACACTTGGGGACGGACTTTTGCGGACCGACATTTGAGGATGGACATTTGAGGATTGCGGACCGACATTTGGGGATCGACATTTGAGGATCGAATTGGAGGAATCGACATTTGAGGACCGACATTTGGGGATTGCCATTTGAGTATAAGAATATTTGTATCTTAAAACAGAAATTATCACAAATTATGTAATACGGTGAAGTTGTTGCACAAGCGGGGGAAGTTGACTTGTCGGCGGGGGATGCTGTTTAAACGACGGAGGAAGTTGTTCAGACAATGGGGGAAGTTGTTCCGTAAACGGGGGAAGTTGTTCAGACTAGAGTTGGCCGGGATCGGGATCCCGGTCGGGATCGGGCGGGATTATCCCGGGTTTTTCGAATCCCGATCCCGATTTTTCTGATCCCGCTCCGGAAATATATATCCCGATCCCGATCCCGGCCAACCTCAATCCCGAGCCGGGATCCGGGATCGGGATGTGCATCAAATCCCGGTGAAAATCCCGACTTTATAAATTGACTATAAGTCTGTGAAATAAAGTTAACAAAAGAGCGGAGGCATGAAAATAAGAAAATTTTTGCCTGCGGCGCGGAAAATGGAAGAAATATTGCATCTGACATCCAAAATTCTCAAAATTTTTGTCTGCGGCGCAAATGAACAAAGCTGTCATTACAACTTTAACGAAATATTGAGTGATTTGGTGTGATATCGAGGGATCAAGAGGGATTGAGAAAAGTATAGGTGGATTTGTAGTATAGAAGGTTATCGGTGAATTTACAGGGATTAAGTTAGATTTGAAGTGAAATCGAGGGCTTAAGAAATATACTACATGAATATATCACTTAATCCCTCAATCTCAGTTCTTCATCGTCCACATTTGAACGTAACGCACTTAATCGTATAGACTTGAACGTTTAGACTTGAATGCCCTTGGCCTTCCAAAATTAAAAATATTGTCTGCGGCGCTTAAAAGGGAGGAAATCTGGCACCTTGGCCTTCTAAATTTTTGAAAATTTTTGCCTTCGGCGCTTAAAAGGGAGGAAATCTGGCACCTTGGCCTTCCAAATTTTTCAAAATTTTTGCCTGCGGCTCTTAAAATGGAAGATGCCCAATCCCATTTATCCCCCCCCCCCATACCTTATCCCCTCTTAATCCCCTAAACCGGAAAGTAAATCATGCGTCTATGAGACTTTAACTCAATATTTCAGCACCACAGTGGAAATTTTAGAATTATATTAAGTCGTTTGTGAAGAAAATAAAAATTTAAAAGTTTTTAAAAAATTTTTTTAGTAAATCCCGATCCCGAGTTTTCAATCCCGGTCCCGATTCGGGATCGGGACCGGGATCGGGATCTCCAGTCCAAATCCCGATCCCGATTTCGGCCAATCCCGATCCCGTGTCGGGATCCGGGATCGGGATCGGGATCACCATTCCGAAATCCCGATCCCGGGTTTTTCTCTAAATCCCGATACCGGCCAACTCTAGTTCAGACAACGGGGGAAGTTGTTCAGACAACGAGGAATGTTGTTCCGACAACGGGGGAAGTTGTTCCGTAAACGGGGGATGTTGTTCAGTTACCGCGGGAAGTTGTTCCGTCAATGGCAAGAATTTTTTCCGTCAATGGTGGAAGGTAATCTGCGTGTTGAAATAACCTCTCCCGTCGTTGGAACAACATCCCCCATTGTCTGAACAACTTCCACCGTCGTTTAAACAGCATCCCCCGCCGACAAGTCAACTTCCCCCGCTTGTGCAACAACTTCACCGTATTACATAATTTGTGATAATTTCTGTTTTAAGATACAAATATTCTTATACTCAAATGGCAATCCCCAAATGTCGGTCCTCAAATGTCGATTCCTCCAATTCGATCCTCAAATGTCGGTCCCCAAATGTCGGTCCGCAAAAGTCCGTCCCCAAGTGTCGCACCACGATTTAAGGTACTTAAGATTTAAGTTGAGTCATTTTAGGTAGTTTCTATAAAAATAAAATTGAAGGGAGTACTGTTAGTAGTTAATGGACAGAATATTTGAACTGGACTTGAGCTTAGTAGATCTTTTTGTATCAGTCTTTCAATTCCTGATAAACCCAATTAGTTAAGACCCTCAGGGCACATGCCTAATATAAATGCCTTGTTAAGGGAGTATCTACATATAGCTGGAATAAGGTTGGAAATTCCTTTAGCAATATCAGGAATTTGTATTTAAAGAGAAAATCTCTTTTTAAATCCCTTCCTTTTCCAATCTTGGACATCGTAATCACAACCTTACGGACAAATACCTCCATTTGCCTTTGTCCGTGAGATTTTTTACATTTATTTAAAGGGATATACAAGTGTCGCTTACCATAGCAAAGAAATAATTAAATGGATATATGGAGATTCGGATATATTGCCTCCTCAGAAAAAACATTCTAAGGTGTATAATAAAAATTAAAATTGTTTCGGTTTAAATTGGCTATATTTTTAATAGGAGGAATTAGAATATGGACAATTTGAGAACCTAGAAGTTGATAAATGTAGCTAATACTTTAATTTTTGTTAGATTTTTATGTTCAAAATTCATTTAAAAATCAAAACAAATAAAACAAAAGTTTCTTTACAAAAGACATTAAGGCATAAGTATCATTCACCGCGTAATACCCACGCTTCTTTCGACGGAAGTAGAAGCAATACAATATTATTGCTATGGCAAAAAGTAGAGAGATCAGAAGGAATAGAATAACAAATGTAATAAAGCCTGAAATTTAAGGAATAAATTTTTTTAAAATCATGTTTAGTAAAAATTCCGATTTTCAGGGTTTAGCTCCTAAACCTGGGCGGGTCTTGCCTGAAAAATCTGGACTGAGTCTGGGTCCAATTTTGAGCAAAAAATACCAAAAAAATAAGAAATCAAGCTTTTCAGCGTCAATCCGCCTCTACTTTTGGTATAGATTAGGTATTTAGTCAGAAAAGCGGGCATTTTTATAAATCCGTGTATAGGGGCTTCCTGATTTTTGTGGTTCAGCTAGGACTCCCGGACTGGCCTTGTGATTAGGGCTGTATAAATACAAACTAGAGTTGGGCGGGATCGGGATCCCGGTCGGGATCGGGCGGGATTATCCCGGTTTTTTTGAATCCCGATCCCGATTTTTCTGATCCCGAACCCGAAAGACAAATCCCGATCCCGGTTTTGGCCGATCCCGATCCCGAGCCGGGATCGGGACCGGGATCGGGATTAGCAATCGGATCCCGATGAAATCGGGATTTTATAAATTAATGAAAATATATATTAATGAGCTGAAAAGAAAGCAATTTGGCTTCTACGCCATCCAAAATTTTCAAAATTTTCGCCTGCGGCGCTAAAAATGAAGATTTTGGCTTGAGAATCTTCGAAATTTTTCAAAATTTTTGCCTCCGGCGGTGAATAAGAAGAGACTCATTTATAAAACTATCGACGGAATGGATTTGAACGGATATAATGGATATCCTAGATGTCCATCTAGATCCCAATATCTCATTAATCAACGATATCCCTCTTAATCCATCAGAATCACCTTATCGTTAATACTTTATCCCTCCTCCTTAATCCCTGATACGCCAAGAACAAATGCGCGCTGGGACTTAAAATCAATATTTCAGCACAGCAGATGAAAATTATGGAATTATATTGAGGTATATGCAATGTAAATAAAAATTTAAATTTTGAAAATTTTTTTAACTAAATCCCGATCCCGATTTTTCAATCCCGATCCCGAGTCGGGACCGGGATCGGGATAATTATTCCGAATCCCGATCCCGATTTCGTCCAATCCCGATCCCGCAGTCGGGATCGGGACCGGGATCGGGATCATCATTCCAAAATCCCGATCCCGATTTTACGTCGGGATCCCGATCCCGCCCAACTCTAATACAAACTTGTATGTTCTCCACTAAAATACCAAGCCCCAGCAGCAATACCACCTGCTGCCAAGGCTAAATTAGCGCCTGACAATGCTTTTGATCTGGCCTTTTGAACCTCGTCTTTTGCGTTGTAGGTATTAAATTGGGGAGGTTCGTATGGCCGATAGTTTTGTCGTCTATTCATTCCTCGAATTGGCATGTTTCTGAGATTTTTGCTTGTTCCTATAACATCATCTATTTTGTCAGCACCGTTTTTCATAACTTTAAAAGTTGGAAATTTAGTAAATTAGAAATTTAAGAGCCTGAGAAAGAGTTATTTTATTATTAGGAAAAGTTCTGTATAAAAATTATTTTTGGAGATGCTTTATGGCCATACATCAATTTGTGGCTATAAATCATTAGATTGCTTCTGGAGCAATATCTCTAGGGGAATTCTGTGGGAATTTCAGGATAAATTTCTGGAAATTTTTTTTATTCCTAGGAAATAAAATCATAAAAGGCTTTGAAAAAGGAGATTTGTTTATCCTACCCAATATTTAAAACCCAGTCATCCTTTTTTTATCAACTCGCCCATCCCTCATACGAAGAGATTGGTAGAAGAGTTATTATAGATAAGGGGTTCCTATATAAGGAACAATTTGTATACATATCCTAGTAGGGGTTAAGAAAGTAATCATTATAATCAGAGGTGAATCGGGATTCCGAGTTCAGAGTTCCGAAGGTTTAGGCTATTTCCGAGTTCCAACTTTTGAGCCATTTCCGATTTTCGACAGTTCCTATTTCCGGCACCTTTGTGATTTCCGATTCACTTCTGAATAAGAGTTCCTTTATCCACCCGAGGCTTTTGTGTACTATAATTTAATCAAAAACTTACCAAATTTCGTTCCTACACCTACAACATCATCAACATTGTCTACGGCTGCAGCTGCACCTGGCACAGCCTTTGCTTGTCCAGTTATTTTGGAAAATAGTTTGGATATATGGCTAAAAGGCAATCTGCGCTTTGCTCTGCTCTAATAATTTTTTTTTTAATTTTAAAAATTATTTTTTTAAATTTCTAACATTATTGCCAGTCTCTCTAGGAGAACAAAGGTGTTGTTGAATGGTTAAGACCGTTAATAAATTAATAAAATTAATTTTATAATTAATAAGCATTTAATTGTTGGAGTAATAAATTAATTAATAACGGCATTAAATGGTGATTAATAATTTAATTTTTATTATTTTATTAAAAATAGCATCTTGAAATTAATTTTTTCTTTTAATTCTTATCGGAAAAAAATAAATTTATAAATTAAAGTTGACTCATAAAAATTGATAAAAAAATAATAAAAACTTCCATTTATAATAGAAAACAATATAAGCTGTCGAAACATGACGCAGAATTATTAAAAAATTTTAAAAAGGCAAAATAAAAGGGGAAAGATGGGGATAAGAAGGCAAAGTTTTTCGGATCCGAAAATCCTATTAGCATAATTCTGAGTTTCAGAAATTTTTGAAAAATACTTCTGAATTCGGAAGATCTGAATAGAGAAAGTAACAAAATTTTAGAACTCTCATAATAATGGAAAAACCTTTATTCAAGCTACGTTTTAAATTTAGCTGGCCGATAGGTAGGGGTGCGTCTAATCGACACCTCCAATTTAATAATGCACTTATTTTTGGATAAAACTGCTTTAGCTGCAAGTAGGGCTGGCTGACGGATCCTGGGACATGCCCTGGTATCCGGATCCGATAGCCAGATCCTATATTCAGATCCGATATCTTATCCGAAAATTTTGTATATCCGACATTTTTAGAATCTGGATATCAGGATCCGCCTACCCGTGCTCTAGTAGGTATACAAAAGTATGGTCCGATTGATGCTAAACTACTTAATGCAAAGTCTGGCCTTATTTTTAAAAATTAATGGCCATTTAATATTAAATTTAAAAATTTTTTTGGATGATTTTTAAAGGTACATAATAATAATAGCAAAAAATATTTATAATTATTTTATTTGTTAGGATTCAATCCTCAATTATATTTTTAATAAAAAAATCAAAAAGCAAAAAGTAAAAAAACTTAACAAAAATAGAGGCAAGAGGGAGAGGGAATAGATAAAAAATATTTTTTTTCGAATTGCTGACAGCCGCTGATTCATCCTTTTGTTTGCTACTATCGGGTCAATTAACGATCACTTATGGGGTAGAGGACATTAATTTTTTATGTTCGAATTTTGAGCAAACAAAGATTTTAAATTGTTTAATTAAATTTTTTTATTGTTTTTTTTTTGGAATTTTTATTTTTGTTTTTAAATACGAAGTAAGAAGGAACTTATCGACATTTGAGAAAACGATATTTGCGAACACGACGTTTGAGAAAACGACATTTGAGAAAATGACATTTGTGAACACGACATTTGAGAACACACCATTTGAGAACACGACATTTGAGCACACACAATTTGAGAACTCTCATTAGATCCTTGACATTTGAGAAATGAGAGGATTGACATATGAGAAAGGAAGAGATGACTTGTGAGGTCATGAAAGCTGGGATATTTAAAAATTTAAATTGGGCAAACCGAGAGGCCAATACGGACTTTGTCTTTCCATGATTTTTACCTTCTATCCTAATAGTGGATGAGACCTTAATAGAGATTTCAATCTCAAATTTAAGAATCATATTAATAGGATTGTCATTTCGAGCGGGCCAATGGGCGAGTCAATTTTTCGGACTCTATTTTTATCGAGTTGGGCCATACAAGTCTTTATCGGGCTAAATATCTTATCTTTCGGACCATTTTGGCTAACCTATTCATTAATATATCAAAAATTATCCTTCCCGGCTGACAATAATTTCAATAATTTTCATTTTTCCTCTATTTTCACAACAAACATCATCCTTTTTGTCACTCGCGCAGCAATTCCAATCGATTCATTCATGCACACAAAATAAATTTTCGGGTGTGTAAACAAGCACGGATTGCACACAGGTATATGTCTCCCTCCCTCCACTCCCTTTCTCCCATTACCAAAAATTCCCCGCTTCCCCCCCTTTTTACTTATTGACAGTCATTGCTTAGTAACCATATTTGTAAATAAATTTTCTCTTATAAATTCTTGGAATTTAATTTTTAATTTTTCGTCATATTTTTTAACAAATATCAAGTCCCTTTAAACAATTACTCAACATTATTTTTAAATTAATAAGCGCTCGCATCCCCCTAGACATTAAAAAACAGGGCGGTATGTGTTGTAGCTAGCTGAGCGCCATTTTGAATTTTGACAAATTTTAATGAATATTTTTTTATTTTTCTTATAATTTTTTTTTCTGAAAATTTTGTGTCGCACAGCCTATAAAATAAAATTTGAGAGAAGGGGGAATAAAGGCAAATAATTTTTTTTTAATTTTGAAATTAATGCGTGTCACTTCCTTTCAACTTACTTTCTCAACTCTCTTTACTCTCGATTATTTGTTTAATAATTTATTTTATTTTAATAAGACCTTTTATTAAAGAAAATTTAAATCGGAACTTGATAAAAGATAACTCTTTGATAGATAACCCGTCGTCTAGCCATTGAGTGCGAGAGCTTCTAAAGAGCGAACCCTCTATTTAAATTAATCCCATTATAAGGCACTACATTTTAGCCTCAAGATTGTCTTGTAGCGCCAATGTATGGGGAGATTTTAAGGAGGTACCCTCTATTTAGTGTAATCCTATTATAAGACATTACATTCTAGCCTCAAGATTAATCTTGTAGTGTCAATGTAGCTTTTAAAGAGATAACCTCTATTTAAAATACTAATAGGATACAATATTTATCCTCTCTAAAGAGCGAACCCTCTTTTTAAATTAATCCCATGCCACTACATTCTAGCCTCAAGATTATATCCTTTAGTATCAATTTTGTTGAGCTTTTAAAGAGATACCCTCTATTTAAAATACTCATAGGATACAACATTTATCCTCAATACGATTCCAACTTGTATTGTTATTTATGGGGGAGCTTCGAACTTATTATTCTTTGAAGCCCCCTATTAAGCATACACTTATTACAAGTTACTACTTTCTAGCCTCATGATTGTATCGTGTGGTGTCATTGTATGGAGAGTCTCTATATTAATCCTTATTTAGAAGCTATAAGTTACAATCTTCTACGACTCGAGATTTTATCTTGTGGTGCTTATAGTATGATTCGTCTAAATACATATTTTAATTTTGTTACCTTGAAGTTTAAAAATCTTTTTTTTAAATCTTATCCTTTTAGATAAAAATGGATAAAACTAAAAAATTTAATGTTCTCTTTCTTATTTTTCTAATTTTACTTTCAAATTATGCTGAAGCAAGAAAATCGGGCGGTGGAGGTTTTGGTAGTAGAGGAGGGGCTGGTAGTGCCGCCAGAGCCAATCCAGCGCCCCACCCAGCTCCAGCAGGCGGGTTTGGTGGTCAACCACGTCCAGCAGCTCCTCAACCTCATCCAGGCCCAGTTGGAGGAGGCTTTGCTGGAGGAAGACCTCCACCTGCTGCTGGTGCAGGCCCTGGACAGTTAGTTTAAACTTCTATGATTACTGTATTCAAACGTGTTTCAGCCTTGGCACCGGCACAGGTCTTGGTTCCGCTTCTCGTGGTTCCTCCTTTAAAACAGCCTTGGCGGGTGCAGCAATTGGTGCTGTAGGAGGAGTGTTAGCCTTTGAAGCAGGTTTTAATCTTATGTTTGGACAATTAATCTTTAAAATTTGCCTCGTTCCTAGGAAAGGCAATAATTAAATCAATGGATAGACCCATGCATTATGACAATAAAGATTACTACTTTGGTCAAGAATATGTTAAGAGAGGTCCAGATGATCATATCTGCAGTTATGATTATCAAGAGTTAATGAAGCAAACAGCCCCGCCGGCAGGCGATGCTACAGTAAATGCTACAGCTGAGGAGAATAATAAAGCTTTGGCTCAAGTAATTTTTTTTGATTTAATAGATTTAATAATACACTGGAAAATGGCGGAGTGTCTGTATCAGGGGAGAGCCAAAATTTATTCCAAAAAGCCTTTAGAATGACGGAAGGCGAAGCCGTCTCATCTCTGTGCTCTTATCCCCTATACTTTATCCCCGAAGAATAAATAGAAATGTTCACAGATAGTTGAACTATAAATTGTTATCATAGTGAGGTACTCCCGGAAGTAGGTACTCCCAAATACAATAATTTGAACATTAGTTGGGGCTGCTTAGTGTAGCTTTAGTTAGGGGTTTTTGTTGGGGTTGGGGATGTTGGGGTGTTGGGTTGCTTTAGGTAGGGGCTGGGGCTTTTGTCGGGGCTGCTCAGAACCTAGGTTGGCCTTATTATATGTTGCGATTTCCCAGCTCACAGTGAAATATCTATAAATATGAACTGATACTCATAGTGATTAACAAAGAGTTCCTGAAACATCGGAAGGATTCCATCTAATAAATTTTTAAAAATTATTCTAAACTAAACCATTCTTAGGCCACTTTTCCAAATGGAACACGTCCAAAACAGGCAAGTTTCTCCCAAAATTCAACGGCATATTAGAACAAATAATTTTTTAAAGATTGTTTGGGCCTGCAAAAAGTGGGAGCAATGCTGTGGAATGGATTGTTGCCCAATGCCACAATCAGTATCTAGGACAGAAAATAATAAATCCTCTGCCCTTTCTACACTTGGAAAAGTTTTGTTAATGTGGGTGATTAATTAAATAAATTTTAAAAAATTCAAAATAAAATTCAAAAAATAAAATCATTTAGCACTTTAGCATCACGCTGGTTTCACTCTTATTTTGCTGCTGTTGCTTTGTAATTGTATATAAATTTTTCCGATCGGCTTTTGATAGGTCGGATTTTAAGTTATAATTTGGAATTAATTTTCCAAATTTTCAGTCTATTTTCCCGTGATAGTAACAATTCTTATGACCCTTCCAAATATGAAAATAATACTGTAAATTCTAATATGATGCCTGCTCAACAACCAAACAACCCTGTTCAACGTAAACTCATTTTTAACCTATCTTATCTAGCAGGGGGCTGCAATCGCAGCATATAGGGAAGAAATGGGCAACACTCGAACCTCATGTAGGATACATCAATAGGCTGAAAGGACCTCTTATAGGATACATCCATAGGGTAAATAAATCACCTTGTGGTTGGTCACTCAATACCAAGTGATCAAACAATTTTAGGAAGGGATCTTCAAATGAGGAATACCTAATTTTGGGGCTATCTAAAAATGGGGTTTAAAAGCACTAACGTTAATTACCCTCCTTTGATTAACTGGCCTCAGGGCCTCAATCTAATAATCTAGACGAATGTAAAAAGATTTTTACTTTATCCCACGTTCGAATTTAATAACTCAACTAATTGCCCCCCCCTCCTCCTCTCTTAATTACTCCCTACATGAGAGATCGAAGAAATAATTTCACGGGGTAATTAATCGCTTGACTACTTTTAAAATTTATTTCATTTTTAGCTGTCCAAGCTCAAAGTTATCCAATGCACCCATATCCTAACCAACCTTCACAACAACCTGGTGGTGTAGTATATCCTTCTCAACCTTCAAATCCCCCAGCCTATCCTGCATATCCACCCGCCCCAGGCTATTATGATTCCCAACAACAAAAATATTAAAATTTTTTGGTATATTTTGGTAAAATTAAGGCTATTTTTGATTGTTTTTTAATTTTATATGCTTGTAAAAATTATTGATGTACAAACAAGTTCCGTGTTTTTGCTAATAGAAGAACCATACCCATTTTAATCACCCTATAATCTAAGGCATTTTTGGGCCGATTTGAAAAAAACCCATTATCAGATGACTAAAAGTGCCCGGAACACGACCAAAAGAGCACGCGGCCATAACGACTCAAAGCTATAACTACCTGAAAATTTCTGGCCCTTATCAATACGCGCACTATTCTCTTTAGCTCGATGTAAGGAATCGTTTGATAATAAATTTAGTAGGATTCGAAAATTTCTAATCAAGTTATTACCTTGTGCCTTATGGCCTTGTACCCTTATGGCCTTGTGCCCTTCTGGGCCGTACTCTAAATTCCCTACTGAAGGTTCAAATTTAAAATTCAAATTAGCAGAATTACGGTATTTGTAAAGATATTTAAAAATTAATTTTGGCAACAATTTTTAGTGAATATTCCTTCGTATTTTTCAATTTTTTTTAAAAATATTTATAAAAGTTTTTAAATTCTTTGTCGTAGAATTTCGAACTTGTCCAAGGCCCAGGCCTGTTCCGAACTCTAATAGAATACACCTTACTAAATTTGTTCCTCTACGGGAGAGTCTATCTTTAAATAACTACCATGATTATTTAACAACAAAATCCCGAAAAACTTTATGCAAAATAAAATGGAGGAAAGATTAAATGATGGACAAAATATGTAAAAAATGTAATAGAAAATTTTTAAAAATGTAAACATCTAGAAGGGTTAAAATAGATTTGATAATGGATACGGATATGGATACAGTTAAGTTCAAAATACCTGAGGATATCCGTCTGTATCTACCGTAAATATCCGGATACGGATAACAAAATCCATTCTATTACCAAGTATGTCAAAAAATATAAAACATAAGGATTACATGTTTTTATGGTGAATTTACGATATGGTAGGTTGATCGGAAGGGGGAAAATTACATGTAAAGGGAAAATGTACATGGGAAGGGGGAAAATTTAGTATATGAAATCGTTTAAAAAATATTTTTTTAGGGTTACGGAGGAAAATTATATCACGAAAAGTATGTGTCTTGTAAAGATACGTGAACTCAATATGAGTTTAACAAGAGAATAAGAACGCCCAATATGTACACATCACTTCAAGTATCTCAATTTCAATGGATCAATCACTTTTAGTTTAATGACTCATAAAATATCTCTCTTCTAATTTCCAGATGTTGAATGTTTATCTTCTTTAAGCTCTTTAAACTTCTCTTTTATCTTCTCGCTCATATCTTTTTGAAAATCTTTTGATTTTAATCCCAATTCTTCCTTATACGTTTCAGCCAATATCTGAGCTTTTTCTTTAAAATACTCTTCATCTCTACCAAAAATGAAGGCTGGGAAATGCTTCTTCATTCGTGTATATGCTAATAACACTTTCCCGGCGTTAATGCGTGTTAAAATCTTAAATTTTTGAGTAAAAGTAAAACTTAGAGTCAAGATTAGTCGAAAAAAGGCGAAGTCTATGAGAGAGATGGAAATGACCATTCGAAGAGGCAAATAAATACAGTATGCTATATAGAATGATCACTAAAATGATCTCAAAACTGACCGTTAACTTGTAAGAAGTTTTTGCATCGCCATATCTTTTAAGTTGCCCTTTTTCATGAGTAAGCCAAAAAGACAGATTTTGCTCTATATCCTCAGTTAAATCGCTTAGGAAATGACTCAAATAGTCATTTCTAACTCTCTTCAAAAATTCTGCCGTGTCCTTTATCGCTTTTTTCAGCCAAAATTCTGCTAAGATCCATGTCTTGATACGAAGCTACAAACAAATTTAAAAAATATTTTTAAGTTGATACACTAGACAGAGTAATCTTTAATAAGAAAACCTGTAATAATTTGCTATCATGTTCCGTAAATGCAAAAAATGATTCAAGCATTAGGTTCATATTTTTGTAAACTTCATGGCTTGCTTTTAACAATGAATAGTGCATTTCGATAAATTTAAAATGCGGCTTATCATTCTGAAATAACGTGAAATACATTATATAGTAAGTCAGGGCTTCGCTCTCGAATTTTTAAAAATCTGCAATTTTGATCTAAGAAATCCGCATTCTCATATTCTTTATATTCTCATATACATACTTTACATTCCTCAAATTGTTCAAAAGACTACAAAAATCAGCAAATCCGCATTTTAAAAAATAATCCTCATCGACCTATCAAAAAACCACAAAATGAGGAAAAATCCGCAGAAATCGAAGTCCTGATAATAAAGTCCCTAGCCCTGATATTTTAATTAAAATTTAATATTTTGTAAGGATGATTCACCTAGCGAGGGTTAAACGACCTAAAAAGGAAAAAGAGAAAGCATTAGTCAATGCCCAGTTAGCTCAGTAGGAGAGCTCCTGTATATGGTGAGCGAAAGCGCAACAACTAGCAGGTAGTCGCAGGTTCAAATCCTGACCGGTGGCTAAACTTTTGAAAACTCTTTCTATTTCAAGATAAATAACATATCTCACCCTTGAAGCTTTTTCATGATTGTAAGCATTAGAATAAATAGAATTGACTTGAGAGTAAAATTCTTTCAAGTCAGCAATTACTCCTTCCATCATTCTGCGTTTATCATTAGGGAACTGAACTATTGGTACTTTATTGGGAACCGAATTCCAAAATTGAGAAAAAGCCCTATTAAATTCGTCATTGTTTGTTTTCTTTGCTATTTCATCACCAATTGCTCTAGATTGCTTAAATTCCTTATCTAATCCCTTATAATCGTGTTTAACAAATTCTTCAATTTCCTCAATTTCTTTTGTTCGTGGCTTTAATTAAAATAAATTAATAATTTAGGTAAAATTTCAAAAAAAATTATAATTTAGTAGGGAAAATGTCAATGTTTTTTAACTAAAAAAGGAGAGTGCCTGGGGTGTCCTTTGTGAGAGACTTCTTTAATCTGTGTAGGATGACAGAATTTCAAATGAAGAGGAAACATGAGAGGCAAAAAAAGGCCTAGCTCAGTATGTAAATCATCTGCAAAGTTTTGAAGAAAGCCTAACTAACCCGGTAACATAGGTTTTTAGTAGTAGGCTTTCCTAGCTTAGTAATTAAACTTTTGATGTACCCTACAGTTAGACACAAAGATCTCTCCTATTTTACCCAAATCATGGCAAACGTTTGATTAGTAAGTCGTCTATGCATTCGGAGGTGAGCTCATTAATAATTTATAATCTCATTCGAGTGAGATTATTAAATATTGTTATCACATAAATGATGTGATACCTGTGCAACAGCCTCTTCAAATCCTGCAAAACTCAAGTCTGTCAGATGATTTATCCAACGTTCTATCCCAATATCAAGTACGTCGTTTATATCGTTCGCTGCGTTTTCGTACAAGGATTTTAAATATACTATATATTCCGAAGCAAGCTCATCTAACGCTTTTCCTTTAATAACTTTAGATTCTTTATCCATAGATTTGTAAGAATTATGTCGAAATCCAATGATAAACTCCGTCATAATTTGTCGCAAAATTTTATTGACAGTTCTACGAAGATTGAGAAACTCGGTATGTAAAGAATCCTCCACTTTCTGAGGCGAAAGCTCATTCTGAGGCCCAAGTTCATTGGTAAGTTGGTCTAAAATTGATATAGCAAAAGTTGGGCAATACTAAAAGGACACACTTGTGGATAAAAATATTATTAGCCTATAATGAGGTGTATATTAGATAAGGGATATCACAATAGTAAGCAGCTGGGTTATAGCTATTTCTCTCCTTTAGCTAGTGCAAAAGGTTATTCGGCGGCTGGGAGCGAACCAGCATCTTCCGTAGACCGGACTGATGTGTTAGCCATTACACTACGCCGACTACTGCACAGCCTTAGGAATTAAATAGCTATATGCTTTACACAATGAAGATTTCCCGCCGATTTATGTTCAAATGACATAAAGAACCTAGCTTAAATTGAGGTATATCTAATCTTTGGACATATGTTAATCTCATTCAGATTCTTAATTAATATTCTAAATAAAAATCAACCAAAATAGTTTTGATTTTGAGGTGGATTATAGTAGGGGACAATTGGCAGTTGGTGATGACTCCAAGATGCCTGTATAGGCTGATGACTATGCTGCAAACCTTTAAATATGATCAAATGATAAAGCATGTTTTTGAGATTGTAATTTTTACCTAAATATGGGTTATGCTGCGTTTGACCTTGATTCTGAACTACCATTTGTAAATGATTCTGATGTGGAGGTAAATACCCAGTAGGATGTTGGAAGTTAATTTGAGCTTAAAATAATAAATTAGAGGAATTATAAACAAAATTATGGCAACGAGTGATACCTGTGGGCGTTGCAAGGTAATTGGGTTGTCCTCCAAAATCTATCAAATCACCTTTTTGAGCTGATAGCGGCTCGACTGGCACTATAGACAAATTAACATGATGTGATGTTTCTGCGTGATGAGAGGATTCAGGAATATCCAAATTCTAAAATTTATTAATAAAGCAGTAATTAACAGTTGACATAGAAATTTAGTTCTATATTGAGGACAAACTCAACATTTTTTTCCAACGAAAATGTTCAAAAATTTGCATGCTTGTGGTTGGTCATTAGAGCATTCAATAGCGAGGTGGGCCCGATACGTCAGTATAGTTAAGTTCGGAGTCAATATTTGTAAGGGTTACAGAGTATTGGTCAGGGTCCAACCCAAGTTAATACTTTTAGATTTTACTGACCGCTTTTTCCACAAGCCAAAAAGCTTTAAGATGTTTAAATAAATCATTGTAATGCTCGGGGGTTTTACTCGTTTTCAGCTTTATTAGCGCTTCTTCCAGACTTTTAACTGCTCCAGGAGTCGGATCTGGCAGAAATGGATTGGTTTGAACAATAAAATTCGTGGTTGTATCCATTTCCGGAAGTTTTATTTCTTCTCGTGCTTTCAAAAATTCGTTGAGAATTTCGATAACTTCCTCGACTGATTCAACAGGTTCTGTAGAACGTTCTTTTTCAAAAATTTCTATACGATTCTTAATCTGTTCATCAGTACCTAAAGGTGTTGATATATTAGTTAATCTTCTTAACTCTTGGGGATAAGAATTTAAACTTGAACAGTGCTTTCGGTAACGAGTATACCGTATATGCTCGAATAATCACCCTCTCTGAAATAATTGCCCTCTTTAATAATTAGAGGGATAATTAGAGGGTTTATAATAATATATATCAAAAAAATCATTGCCAATTTTAATTATTGAACCAGTTTATTAATCATTATCAAAAATAAATCGATTCCCTCCTTTATTTGTGATATACCCCAAATTTGGCACCTCCTCTCGAATAATTACCCCTTCAGCGAGAGGGGTAATTATAAATAATAATATTATCATAATAATAATATTATTATTATTATACCCCCTTCAGTGAAATGTAACATTAGAATAAATATGAAATTATTCCAATTTAAATTATAGCATACCATCAAATTCAAGAGTTGGTTCCAATAATGTTTTAAATTTTTCTTCAGTTGTTTTAATCAGTTTAATTTTTTGGTGTTCCAATTCAGCTTCAGCTGGATGTTGAGAGTGATGGGGAGTATGTGGCCCCATTACCACACAACATTGCATGAGCAAAAACAAGGCAAACATCATTGATGGATGCCAGCGATTTAATGATAAACGAATTATCATTGTTTTGAGGAAAATCTCCTGTAGACAAACAAAATAATAAATTTAATAAAATTAAAATTAAATATATTTTAAAATTAAATCTTGTTTAATAAAAAATGCCCTTTCAATAAGGCATTAAACGAGAGGAATGAAGGAGTTTAATGAAGAGAGAGAGGGTGAGGATAAAAAGCGAGGATAAAAAATGCCCTTTCAATAAGGCATTAAACGAGAGGAATGAAAGAGATTAATGAAGAGAGAGAGAAAGAGTTAAATGAAGAGAGAGTGAAGATGCCCTCAGTCATGAGTTTAAGCATTGAATAAATGCCATATGATTAAATGCCATATGATTTGACTTATAGGGGGGAGAAAGAGAAAGAAATGGAGTTTGTAGTTTGAGGAAAGAATATGCCCGAGTAATTGATTTTTTATTTTAAATTAAAAAAAAATTTAAAAAATTAGAAGAAAACTTTAAACATTAGGCTGGAACTATGGGATAAAATACACCGCAAAATGGAATGCGCTTTCATAAAACATATCTTAAGAACGGGAGAGCTCTTCGAGTTGAGAGACGATAGCAGGATAACTCTTTTTTAGATACACTATAATATAAGACTTTCTCAGTCTATTTAGATGTGTTATTTTCGTTGGGTTAGTATGTAGATTCGGGTTCGGTTAACCGAAGAATATGGTGAAACAACACCTCGAGTTTAGAATGTATTTTATTGTGAAGCCTGATATTACTAGATACTTTAATATTTTTTGAAAACCGGACAGGTTTAGTCTTTTTCAGGCCAAAATCCGATGCCGACTCGATCTTTCGAAACGGGCCGGGCCCCCAATCCTAATTATGAGTGATACCTTAAGAGTTTGTGAATTAAACTCCAGCACTAATCAACTTTAAGAAACATATTCAAAACAGAAGCATGATATATTTTTGATCAAGCTTCCTCCTATTAACACTTTAAAAACCTTTGAAGAACAAGGTGTCATATCTCTTCATTTTTCAGCGCCGCAGGTGAAAATTTTTAGAATATTGGAAGGTCTAGTTGCCAGATTTCTCATTTTTTAAAGCGCCGCATAACCGTATTATTATTTTTAAAGGGATTTTAAAAGTTAATACAGAAAATTTAAAATCTTCTCTTAACTCACAACTATGATACTTTCTAATGTCTATAAACCTTAAGAATTTTTTATAGGCCTAACTACTCCCGGCTAAATTCACACTAATTCGTAAAACATAAATAAAACCCGCTCCGAAACTACTTAAATTTTATAACTTAATAAAAATTTTTCAAATTAATTTTTTTAATTAATTAATAAATAATGCCCTTTCATAAGGCATTAGACGAGAGGAATGGAAGGGAGGTGTAGGGGGGGGGGGGTAATTAAGCAAGAGCGGATGCTTGCCCATATAAAATCCCATATGATTAAATGCCATATGATTTGCTATGTTAGGGGTAAATAAAGGGGAGAGAGAGTGAAAGAGAGAGTTAATAGAGAGTGAAAGGGAGAGTTAAACAAAATGGAGTTTATTGAATTTAAAAGGATAGAGAATGAGAGGAAGGATGCGCGAGTAATTGATTTTTAATTTGGCAATTTAAAAAAAACTTTTAAAGGGTAAAATGAAAAAAACTATAAATAATTACAACAAAACATCGGCATGAGGTTTAATATAACGTAATTTAGGAGCATTTTTTACAAAATTTTATGGTCCTTTAAAGATACCTTCAGGTTACACTCATTTTAAACCCTCCTATTGAAGCTTCACTCTTTGGTACTTTTATCACCCTCTTCTTAAAACATAATGATACCCTCCTTGTAAAAGAGGAGGATGATGTTTTATAAGGATATTCTCATTTTAAAATCTTGGTTACTGTCAACTGCAAGGATTTAAAATTTTTTGGATACCGTATTCCTTCAAATAGAAGCACGTTCTATTTTCCGATCCTCTCTTAAGTTGTGCTTCTATTAGAGACTGCTTCAATTGGAGACCGTGCTTCAATTAGAAGAAATCCGGTATTCAAGATTACATCAAATTTATAATTCTGGCTCTTTATGAGCGATTTTTAGGTCTAAAGAAAAATTATTTAAGGAGCCAGAAAGAATACCTAGATTCAAATAATATTTTTTTTGAAATAAATTTTTAAGTTTGAATATAACTATAAATCCTCTGAACCGGATATGCTATACATAAAATTAATTTTAAAATTATTTTCACAATTAAATTAGAAATTTATTTGCACTTTTATTAATTTTAAAATTTTTATTTAAATTTTTAAATAAAATTTCCCAATAAATTTCCCGACAAATAAAGTTAATTCACATGATGTTTTTCCTATTAACCTTGTGAATTCCTTTAAAATAAAATTATGAAATTATTTTTACTTGCACTTTTAAAAGTGCATGTAAATATTCCCTTTTAAGATGCTCAAAGAAAGGGCAAAATTTCATTTTAAAAATTTATTTATTTAAAAAATTATTCAAAAATTAAATATTGAATTTAATTAAATGCGATTTTTATTGCTGTATATTCTCCTTTATGTAATTATTTTGGATGTTTCAAATTGTACAAATGAACAGGACGATTGGCAAAATGAAAAACGGAAACGTCAAAAGATGGGAGATCAACAATATTTAAATCTTGGTTATGGACAACCACAAGGAGGTTATGGGGCACAAAGGCAAGGACACAATCCAAACATCCACGGAAATCAAACGATAAACCTTTTGCCTGATCATTTAAATCAGAATAGAAATGAGTTGACAAATCCCGTGGATTTATCTCAAAAAGGAAAGCAGCCTCTACAAAATCCCCCTCAAACCCAACTGCATCAATTCATCAAAGTAAAACAGGAAACGGGAGATAATGAATATATGGGGCAACAACCTAAACAAGTTCAACAAGTAAAAGAAAAACAACCCCGGGTAACTATTCATCTTGACGATAGTTCAGACGATTCTTTAGAACTAATAGATGGAAAGGGTTACAAAGTGCAAGTTCCATATACTAATGAAGGAAAAAATAATTTTCCGAAGCTAACTATTGGAAATCATCAACAACCTAGCGGAACTCAACAACAACCTCCTAGTTCCTCTGGATCAAAAAGAAAACAATATAGTAGCCAGAAACGAATTGTTACAACTATTAGTGTGAATAAACAACATTTTACCACCGTGGTTCAACATTGTAAGAAATTATTTTTTGAAGAAATATAAGTTGTATGAGTTTCTAAGTTAGTCAGATAGAATGGAGGATATTGAGGGTATCCGTTGGGCCTTAGGCTCGAGATCAAAATTGTGGGGTCAAAATTGTGAGAAAATAGCAGTTATTTCGAAATTATTTCGAGGAGATGGGAGGGAGATGGAAACATATAATGAGGAGATGGAAACATATGGGAGATGGAAACATATGATGAGACTTGAGACCAGAATTAAGATTGAGGGAAATCTAAGTTGAGTTCGGGTTGAGAAGGTTAATTAACATGGCAGTGTTATAATAGGGGAATGAAAGATTTCGAAACGAGGACTAAGACTCTTACCAGAGTTTAGGATAGAAAGAAATTCGGTTCGATTTCGAGGATGTAGAATAAATCCGGAAGATTTATAAAGCACCTGGGCGATTTTTAGATATCTATAAGTTTCTAAACTTTTACTAAACTTTTTATCTTTTGTATTAATCTAATTTTACTTTAGTAACAAGCCGTGAAGCTCAAAACAGTGAGAATTTTAATTATAATTTATTAAATTTATCTAATTAAAATTTTATTTAAAATTTGCCAAAGTTGGTTGATAATTCGGATTATATCCCAAAATTATTAAAAAATTTATTTTTATTAATAGAAATGCAACAACATAAACAATTTATGGAAAGTAAAAATCAAAATTTTGATGAAAATTTGTATATGACAAATCTAGCTTATAAAAACTGGATAGAAGATTCGATGCAAAAAGAAGAAATGAAAAAAATTAAAAATTTTATGCAAAATAAAGGTCTAAAGTTTGAAGAAAGTTTGTATATGTCCAGCCTTGCCTATAGAAACGCGTTATACAGAATGATGCAAAATGATGTTGATTTAGCACTGAGTATCTCGAGCTCAAGAGGTTGAGATTTAAACTACCGTATTTTCTCGATTATTTCCCCATTTTCGATTAATTCGAAGTTTTTATTTTTTAATTCTTAGGTTTATTAATTCCAGGGTTTTTATTTTATTTATTTTTTACTTTATTTTTATCCATTAATTCCAGTGGCCAAACATTTTTTTTCGGAAAATTATTTTTCTCTTCAAATCGTCTGTGTTTTTGATCACTCTCTAGCAGAAAAATGCGCGCTTTTTGGATTACAGCAGGGAGATCAGGGACAACTAGACTGACGCCTTCACTTACTTTAATACAATAGTTACAATACTATAGAACAACTGCTAGGGACGGGTTAAAGCATTAATTCTCCGGCCTATGCAAAACCGAGTAATTGATGTAGAATAATTCCTCTCCCTCCACTGATTTTCAATCCCACAGATGTCTTTGAATATTAAGTCCCCATGGTAATCTGTAACTATGTAGTAGTTGCGATACTTAAAATTCTACTAAAGAAATTTTAGACTTCAGCAATGCTTTGCCTCAAGCTGGTCACGCAAACCGTGATCAGCATCCTTCCTTTCAACAGCAACAAGTAAGAAATGTCAATACACATCGAGAACTTTATCCTGCCCTTCAATGGCAACTAGGAACAACCGTCAATACTCAGCGTGAACAGCATCCGGCACTTCAACAGCAACAAGAAAGTTTTGTCAATCCTCATCAGTATATACAAAATCTGGGTTCTACACAGGGACAGGAAAACTCGGGAATTGGTTCGAAATCAATAAATCAACCATCTGTTTTGAACAAAACAGCACATCAATATGGTGATTATCTTCGAGGGCAAAATCCACAAAATTTTTCCCAACAAACTCATAATCAAAATTTAAACCAACAAAATGTTCAACACGCACCTAATGTTTCAATTAATAATGTTCAACCTGCGAATCAACAATCAAATTCGGATGATTATATTAGATCTTTAGGTGATATTATATGTATTAGTTATTATGGTGATTATCTTATACAACCTCGAGGAAAAATCCCAAATTATGATCCCAATTTATAAACCTTGGGAGTAAAAGTGTACAATATTAGTGGTATTCCTAGGCAACTTTCCATCCATGATCAACATTCTGAAAAATATATCTCAAAAATGAATCATTTTTTGAGATATGTAACTCAGGTTAATGGGAGAGATACTCACGTTCGTTGCCTGAAAGCGTTTGGTATACTGTTACGTCCTTGTCCGAGGAATAACATATAAAGACTTTATTACAACGAGTATATACAATAGTAACGAACAATAGTAATATGGCCAACGCCAAACAGTATGTGCGACGGCTCTTTTGAATGTGTTATTATCAAAAAATCGAATTTTTCACCCAAAATTAGCTTACTCCCCTATCGCTTTCAATATTCAGCGACATATATCTCGGTCCACAAGCATCTCCGTAAAAAAGTGGTACCGTTTGACTCAACTTATCGAGTCGTATCGAACGATATAGGTCTTTTATCGAAACCTTACCAACAGTATACTATACTACACCCAGAAAATTATTAATATTATAGAGCAAGAACATGTTCGTCAATATCCCATTATTCCATCAAGCTCTAATCTTGTCAGTAATAATCCTGAGGGTAAATATATCCCTATTTAAAATAATTGTGATAATTTTTTAACAGATGAAAATACTGAAGGGCAAACATTTGATTATTTCAATTTTCATAAATAAAATTAAATAATGGAAGTTTTTTATGAAAAATTTTTGAAAGTAAATGATAATTTAAAGAATTTTATGTTTAAATTTTTTTATTTTTTAATTACAAAATCGTTATTTCATTGTTTCAAAATTTTCTTCTAGAAAAACGGAACTAACGCAAATCTAATACTAAGTTGTTATTTGATCAAATTACTTTATTAAGAAATCTAGAACAGACTTTAAATTTTTTTATTTCTCAATCGCCATATGTTATATCTTTTAAAATTTGATGACATAAGATTCAAATTTGCGAAACTAATTGTATATTCTATGAAGGGGACTGGGCCATTAGGGCGCGGGGCCATTAGGGCGCGAGCTTATAAAACAGTGAGTTGCTTATCAAAAAAGATAAAATTTTGCAATAATAACTCTCATGCCTATATCTATGTTCTCCAAAAATTTCAGAATCTTTGATCAAGAATTTCTGAAATTGTGGCCAAAAATGTTGATTTTCCGAAAAAACCCTAATTTTTCGCGGTTTATCGACTATAACTTCAGAAATATTCGATGAAAAATTCTGAAATTTCTGGGGGAGGTAGTCTAGGATGTTAAAGAAATTTCAGAAAAATTTTATAAATTTCGGTTTCGCCTAAGTGTCAGTTTCCAGTGCTGGCGCCCTAATGGCCCCGCGCCCTTATGACCCCAACCCCTATGAAGAACTGACAGTTCTTCATCAAATATAACCATGATTTTCCATGGTTCCAACTTTTTATAAATTTTGTTTAAATTCGGTCAGTAGATATACACGTGGTCAAAGAAATGTATGAAATTTTTGGTGACAGTTCGAGAGTGTCTCGTCCAAGAGGTTGACCAATAACTTCATTAGATCGTGCCAGATGGCTAAACTTTGCTAGCTTTTTCACTGTCTTTTGGGAATTTAAATTTATTATGATCTATGTTAACCAATGTTAATAGAATACCCCAGCATATGTGGACTTCAGTAATACTCTCTTAAATTTTTTATCAAACTATTTTTAAAACTAAAGTACAAAATAAATAAATATTTAATTTAAAAATTAATTAATTAACACAAATCGTTTTTCATTGTTCAATTTTTCTTCAACCAAGCTAAATTTAATACTAGCGTACTCAAGAATCAAGTTAGCAATTTCCTCTACATAATTCTTACAATATTCGTTTAAACTAAATTTAATAGATTCTTTTTTGTATAATTCATCAATGCGGGCACAAAATTCCTTGGCGTATAAAACATGCATTAATCCTTTGTTTATAGCTTCTTTTACTAATTTGAATCGAGTTTGATACTTAATATATTTAAAAAATTATTTAAAATTTTATTTTATTTTTATAATATCTTGATAGATTTATAAGTAAATGATAAGCACCTTTAAGAAGGGCTACTAATTTTTAAAAATACGGTAGATCCTCAAGACTTTCTAATATATATGTCTATGTTCCTTTAATGTTTTCTACCAGTTATTGTAAAGTTTTCTCTAGTTTTCTCTACCATAATTTTCCTTAGGTAATCAACTGATAGGTTGACAATTTGGCTCGAATAAGAAAAGAAGCCTATGTACATGTTTATGCAGACAGTCATTTGCAGACATGTTGGCCGCAATCTGGACATCAACCTTTTCTACATATTCTATTAATGTACCCCTTGGTCCCAAGACCTTCTTAAAAGCGCGAAATAAAACGGAAGACTAAAGTATAAGGCCGAAAAATGCGAAAGTGGATCAATGACGAATGGGATCCCATCCTAGTCCATTCTCTTCTTCTACAAACTTGGATAAATACTTCATGGTTCTTCTAAGTATTTCATATCTTTCATTTTCCTAGAGAAAATCCAGTTTTCTAGCTTCAGTTTCCTATTTTCAAGGTAAATTCCAAGGTTCCCATCCCAATTACAGGTTTGGAAAAGACGGTGAAATTTACTCCAATCTATTGCCCATCCAAATAAATTTTAAAAATTAAAGACGCAAACCTTTTCCTTTTCCTTCCCCCATTTAATCCTAGCATCATGATAATTATCAACTGAATTACGCATCTTTCTAAGTTTACTAAACAATTTCATTCTAAATCGTTTTAATGACGCAATATTGGTAAAATGCTTAATAATTTTGGAATTTTGTTTTTCCTTCATAATTTCAATAAAATTTAATAGAATTTTTGAATTTTCTTCGTTAAAGAAAAGATTTTCGGTAATTAAAATTAACTGATAGAAATTTGTTGATTTATGGTAAAGCTTGTTCAATTCCGCATTGCTTTTAAACACAAAATTGTTGAATTCTTTCAAATCATGAGTGTAAATATATGGTTCGATATCGGGGATGTGAAATTCAGGTTCAACTGCAACTGGATTATTATGATTAATAGTTGTGACAAAAGTTAGGGAACAAGTGATAGGAAAGATTAGAAATTACCTAATTGAATTTGATAATTTAAATCTAAAAAACCCAACAGTCCAGGCCTGGGCCCAGGTAAAAAATTTCTGGGTTTTCCTGTAATACAGGTCCAAGATTTGGCCTAAATCAATAAATCAAACCCCAGAGTGCAGGAATCGGGTCCAGGCTTTTTTTACCTCTAAAAGTGTCATTCAATTAGAGGGGTCATTCAAATAGAGCAATACGGAAAAACTAACTCATAATTTTCCTTCTGAGGCATACGGTATGTAATTACAGAGAAATTCGGTTTTGACTAAAGGATAGACTCATAATGTTCAACTGGAGGCCATTCAGTATCCGAATCAGAATATATTTGGTAACTAGAAACTAGTTTAGTAGTGTATGAGGGCAGATATCATTAGGCATTTATCAGTAGGTGCCCATTTCCCAACAGAACCTTAACAGAATTTGCGAAACAATTTATAATACTTATAATGCCTAGCTGAGTTTCAACTACGATAAAATAATATACCTAGATGCATTAGTATAGAGGTACATTTTAGAAAGAGGTTCTCATGTTTATAAGGTAGAGCTTATAGCAGAGTAATCTCACAATCAGTTAGGCTCTCATCAGACCTATGAGATTTTAATTTATCCGGAATTTATTGTTTAATTAATTAAATAATTACCTAAATCATTATTTGTATGATTATCTACTTTCTCCTTATTCTTTTTATTCTTCTCTGAATTTTCTTGATTTTTATTAGAATGACTAGGCTCGCCTTTAATTTCATTTTTCTCTTCAATTTCAATATTTTCATTCACTTCTGATTTTTCCTGATCATTATTTTGCGTTCTTCCATTGCCATTTTCATGATTCTCCAAATCATCTTCCAAATTACCCAAGGCAATATCCAAAAGTGAACGTCTACTAGAAGCTGCCTCGTTGGTAAAACCTTCCTCATCTTCATGAATTACGTTCAAAGGAAAGCGAAATGAAGCCGATCCCAATTTTAGCTCATTCTCTAAATTGCTAAACAAATCGTCTTCACCAATCTCCCCTTCATTCATCATTTCAGCTTCTTTTTCAGGTTCTCCTTCAGTAATCACTTCCTTCCCCTTCTCCTTGATACTCTTTTTCTTTAACAATTTTTTAAATTTGTTGGTAATTTTGCCTGAATTCTTTTTGGAAAATTTTTCTCCATTTTTATCATCCTTTGGTCCCGTACTTCCTCCAATGCCATAATCTTGTAGTTCATTGTTTTCCGATAATATTTTATCGAAAATTGCATCAGTGTCTTTCAAGCGTTTCAAGAGCTTGTCACTCTCTGTGGGCTCAGGATTTTTAGATTTTGAATGATTCCGATTGAACATGAATTTAGCTCTATTCCATTTACTAGTGACTTGATTTGATCTCTCAATCAGCTGGATTAAAAGAAATAGAGTAGAAATCCAGAATATGAATTTATCCATTAGAATCTAAGAATATAGAGAGATTGTGATAGTTGATTGCCTTCCAGGTTTTACTAGTCCCAGACTAAGACCTAGACTAAGACATTTATTTCCCTAAACAAAAGAAAAATCTAAGAAATTCTTGATTGCAGACTGAGGATCAAGAGCTTAAGACGTTAAGATTTGAACTCAACGTGAGCCAATCTCATGGCTATAACTTTATTTTATGTAAGGAAATCTTGGAATGTATGTGAATGGCCTGTTACCCTTGGGCGTCCTTATGGTCTAGTATCTAGTATCTGTGAAATTTAGTCTAGGAATCTCGAGCGGACAATAAATATCTCCCTTATTTTTTAAAATTTAAATTAATAAAAGAATTAAATAGGCGGTTAGTGTAGACGGCGGATGTAATTTCATTTCCTCTTGTCAAATGAATGTATTTCTCCTGATGAAATCAAATGGATTTATGAAAGGCAGTCAAAATATATAGCCAAAAATGGATATGTGGAATCGATTGAAGAGTCCTTTTAATGCCGCAAAGGCAATGTTGTTTTAGCTTTAGCCGATAAATAAATTTAAAAAGGGTTGCCGATTTTAGAAAAATTTTTTTTATTTTTTAAGAGTTAATAAAGGATTTTATATAAAAATTAATAAAAATTTATAAAACCTTAGAATATTGATAAGGGCCCGCAATCTTCTAAATCCTTAATAAATTCTAATGAGCCTACTCAAATCTTCAATAAACTGAGTAGGCTAATTCGAATCCATTTTCCTGACTAAATCTGATCTGAATTAACATTTTTGAATCAAAAATCTTAGCACACGCGTTCGACTCTGTATCAACGCAGAAAAGTGGAATCTTTTGAAAACATATTAAAATTTATTCCCTATTTAGTTCTCTATTTTATCATATTTATTTTAAATCCGTAGAATATTTTTGATCGAAGTTATGTAAATAAATACTTCACTCCGAACTTTCGTGTCACCCTGTAGAATCCATTTTCCTGACTAAATTTGATCTGAATTAACGTGAAGATACCGTGCGTCCGCAAATTATACGACCACTTGTATTGTATATCATATCTAATCTTTAATATAATATTTCCGCTTCATTTCTTATTTATATTAATTATTAATGTATTATGAACCTCTAGGCAAAATTTCATTTAAATATTCCGAACCATCCCTCAGAAAATTAAATTCAATTAAAAGTAGTCCCTCGATTCATCATCCCTCGATTCATCATCAGTTGAAGTTTGGGGATATTTATAACTTAGATTCTCCTAATTATTTTAGACATTCTTTTAGTTACAGAAATTCTTTATGCATACGTTTAAAATAATCAAGAAATTGTCATCTAAAAATAATCAAAAATCAAAATGTCTTTTACTGTTACTTTGAATGGGGTAAATAAAATTTAGTCACATCAAGGAGCATAATGAATGTTCAGGGTCATAGTTTTGTATGTTAGGGACTATATACAATCGTGTCGGGCTAACTCAAGGAACGGACAAGTCAAGGAACGACAAATCAAGAAAAAGACAAATCAAGGAACAGACAAGTCAAGTAAAAGACAGGGTTGGTCTTTGAGTTAGCCCCCACCCATATACAATCATGTTTGTGGGGATGGATGTTTTGAGGTAACGTATATGCTCAAATATGCTTGCTATAATAATTTTAGAAGGCGAGAAATTCAAAGAGAGATTCAAAATTTCTCTAGCGAGAAATTCAAACAATAAATATTTACATAGTGTAATTATTTGAGCATATAAGGTAAAAGGGTTTCAATAAAACATTCGGTGGCAAAAGTTTTTTAAAGAATCATCCTTAGATTTATGATTCACTTTTAAACAAATCACTTAAAGTGGTCTCTGGTGTTTTAATCAAATCTCCCAGTGAGATTAACGGGGTTTGCTTCTCTGGTTTACCATGCATATTAAGCAAGTTTCCCTTTACTGGCAATTGCAAAGGCCAACCTCTCAATGGAGCGATCTTATGCCAAATTGGTTTTTTCGACTTTTCATCTTTTGATAAATCTCCCAGAGAAACAGTTCGATCAAATTTTTTGTCACCGTGTTTTGAATGAACGAGAGGATTGATAACTGAGAAATTATTTTGTAAATTGATAAAAATTTTTGACAAATATTTTTATGAAAGGATTTATTTTGTATTTTTATGTTCCATTTTTAGTATCAATTCAGCGATATTTTATATATCCTTTTAGGAGAATGAGAGTATACCTAGTTTAATATCTTCATCCTTTCAGGTTCTAGACCGAGTTGGGAAGAGGTTATTTATACCGTCCCCAAAAGATACCGAGAAAATCGAGAGATTTCTGAGGGAGAGATCTCTCGAGAGTCTCGAGTGAGTTGAGAGATTCTCTCGTGAAAATCGAGAGAAAATAAAAGATACCTAGAAAATCGAGAGAAAAATAGATAGAAAATCTAGAGTTTTATTAATCCCTCATTAACTAATTACCTGTATTGGTAATAGCTCGAACAAAATTACGAGGTAAATTTTTTGCGAGTTCGAAAGATTTTGAACGTTGAAATTTTTAAAAGGTTTTTTGCTTTGTGAGTTTACCCCAAATTTGATAACTCCTGTCTCTCCCTTCTCACTCTCCTCCTCGTCATCTAATAGTCCGAGGAGTTTTAAATGATCGGCATTTTTATTTTTGTTTTCTTCTTCTCTCATTTTTTGTTTTTGCTCTTCTTCTTCTTTTACTTTCATCTCAAATTTCTTCACTTGTTTATCCGTAATTGTCCCATTTTCAGGAATAGACAGGAGTCTATTTATGTATTTATCCTTTTTCTCGGATTTTTTAAACTCAGTTTGATTATCTGTTTGATCATCCTCACTTGCCACAATTATGAAAAAAGTTGGCAGAATAAGAAAAAATAATTCTTTTTTCATTTTTAAAACTTTAAAAAATTTGCGTATTTACTCGATTAATTCCCCAACACTTCGAAAATTCCCCAAAACATATTAAATGAACAGGTTTCTTATGATTAGGGTTGCCGTTTTCGAGTCGGGCATTTTTTTCGGGCTTGTTTTTATCGAATCGGGCCGGTACGAGACTTTTTCGGGCCAAACATCTAGGTCCGACTCGATCTTTCAGTCCGAGTCGGTCCATTTTGGCAACCCTACTTATGATAGTACATATAAGGGCTTGTATCAGCTTAAATCTTGTTAACTATTCCTCTAGTTTTCCCATAATTCTCTTTGTTTGCTTAACTCAAACATCCATTTAAGTGTCATTCAAACCCTAGTAAATCGAGGACAACCAGAGACGGTTTTAATGGAGTAAGAACATCAATCGGGGAAGGGCAACAGCCTCATATTTATTGGACCGCTTGGACTATCCTTTGTGAGTAACCCATAATAGAATCATAAATTAGTTAAAAATTGGAGTCATGCTAATTTATAAGATCCTCCTTTGCAATCTTTTAAAGTTTTTAACTTTTCATGGCCCATCAGGCACACACTGTCTTGGAAGCCCATCAGACCCCTGACTTCATGAATTCTTGAAAATTTAACTTATAAAATAAATTTATTTCTCCTTCTCCTCTTTTGGATAATTCCCATCATAGGAAAGTGTCGAAAAATAATTTCAAGGGGAATTACTCGAGTTATAGACTAACATTATTAATTAAAAAAAATTAAATTTTATATTTTATTTAAATTAATTAAAATAAATTATTGGTAGTGAAGTAAATTAATTGTTTAAATTTTTAAAGAAATTTAAATTTATTTCCTTGAGCAGCTAGTAAAGCGTCTAGAGAAGCGAGCGTTCATAGTCGACATCCAGGATGTTGGCAAGTGAATGAGGAGAGGAGTGAGAGCAAACATTTAAAATAGAGTCCACACCTATAGAAGTGAATTGCGCGTTTAAGGGGATAGAAGAGACCTCGTTTAAGAGATCTCTGTCTCTTAAGAGAGAGAGAGAGAGAGATAGGAGGAAGAAGAGGAAGGAGGAGGAGGAGGAAGTTGAGAAGGAAGCTGATGAAGAAGCCAGTCTAAAGCATCGTTTAATAGGAAATATTGAGAGGGCTGCGGAGATTTTACGTTACGCTCTCCAAGATAGTCGATTCTCTAAAGCGCCCAAGTAATGCGTTTTCTATATATGCGAGCGTTTCTTGTGAGGGAGGAGGAAGTTGAGGAGGAAGAAGAGGAAGAGGAGAAAGAAGCGCCTTGCGCGTTTAAGGGGATAGAAGAGAGAGAGTGGACGAAGAAGAGAGAAGAGGAAGGAGGAAGAAGAGGAAGGAGGAAGCTGTTGCGGAAGCTAGTCTGAAGCATCGTTGAATAGGGATATTGAGAGGGTTGCATAGGTGTGACGTTACGCTCTCCAAGATAGTCGATTCTCTAAAGCGCCCAAGTAATGCGTTTTCTATATATGCGAGCGTTTCTTGTGAGGGAGGAGGAAGTTGAGGAGGAAGAAGAGGAAGGAGGAAGAGGAGAAAGAAGCGCCTTGCGCGTTTAAGGGGATAGAAGAGAGAGAGAGTGGACGAAGAAGAGAGAAGAGGAAGAAGGAAGTCGAGGAGGAAGCTGAGGAGGAAGCCAGTCTAAAGCATCGTTGAATAGGAAATATTGAGAGGGTTGCGGAGATTTTAAGCTACGCTCTCCAAGATAGTCGATTTCTCTAAATCGCCCATGTAAAGCGCTTTCTATATATGCGAGCGTTTCTTGTGAGGGAGGAGGAAGTTGAGGAGGAAGAGAAGGAGGAAGCTGAGAAAGAAGCGCCTTGCGCGTTTAAGGGGATAGAAGAGAGAGAGTGGACGAAGAAGAGAGAAGAGGAAGGAGGAAGAAGAGGAAGGAGGAAGGAGGAAGCTGTTGCGGAAGCTAGTCTAAAGCATCGTTGAATAGGGATATTGAGAGGGTTGCATAGGTGTGACGTTACGCTCTCCAAGATAGTCGATTCTCTAAAGCGCCCAAGTAATGCGTTTTCTATATATGCGAGCGTTTCTTGTGAGGGAGGAGGAAGTTGAGGAGGAAGAAGAGGAAGGAGGAAGAGGAGAAAGAAGCGCCTTGCGCGTTTAAGGGGATAGAAGAGAGAGAGAGTGGACGAAGAAGAGAGAAGAGGAAGAAGGAAGTCGAGGAGGAAGCTGAGGAGGAAGCCAGTCTAAAGCATCGTTGAATAGGAAATATTGAGAGGGTTGCGGAGATTTTAAGCTACGCTCTCCAAGATAGTCGATTTCTCTAAATCGCCCATGTAAAGCGCTTTCTATATATGCGAGCGTTTCTTGTGAGGGAGGAGGAAGTTGAGGAGGAAGAGAAGGAGGAAGCTGAGAAAGAAGCGCCTTGCGCGTTTAAGGGGATAGAAGAGAGAGAGTGGACGAAGAAGAGAGAAGAGGAAGGAGGAAGAAGAGGAAGGAGGAAGGAGGAAGCTGTTGCGGAAGCTAGTCTAAAGCATCGTTGAATAGGGATATTGAGAGGGTTGCATAGGTGTGACGTTACGCTCTCCAAGATAGTCGATTCTCTAAAGCGCCCAAGTAATGCGTTTTCTATATATGCGAGCGTTTCTTGTGAGGGAGGAGGAAGTTGAGGAGGAAGAAGAGGAAGGAGGAAGAGGAGAAAGAAGCGCATTGCGCGTTTAAGGGGATAGAAGAGAGAGAGAGTGGACGAAGAAGAGAGAAGAGGAAGAAGGAAGTCGAGGAGGAAGCTGAGGAGGAAGCCAGTCTAAAGCATCGTTGAATAGGAAATATTGAGAGGGTTGCGGAGATTTTAAGCTACGCTCTCCAAGATAGTCGATTTCTCTAAATCGCCCATGTAAAGCGCTTTCTATATATGCGAGCGTTTCTTGTGAGGGAGGAGGAAGTTGAGGAGGAAGAGAAGGAGGAAGCTGAGAAAGAAGCGCCTTGCGCGTTTAAGGGGATAGAAGAGGAAGAGTGAGGAGGAAGAAGAGACAGGAGGAGGAGGAGGAGGAGGAAGCTGAGAAGGAAGCTGGTGAGGAAGCCAGTCTAAAGCATCGTTGAATAGGGAATATTGAGAGGGTTGCGGAGATGTGACGCTCCGCTCTACAAGATAGTCGATTTCTCTAAAGCGCCCTTGTAAAGCGCTTTCTATATATGCGAGCGTTTCTTTTATCGATTGGATTTTGAATATCCTTTTATAAAGTCAAAAATTTGAAAATTTCAACAAATTATAAAGTTTTGCTTGACAAGAAAAACTGAAATAACATGGAAATCTTTAGAGAATCTAAAAGAATTACTCGAAAGAAATCTCTTAAATTATAAACTTAATAGTCCAATCCATTACGGATGCCAACGATTTATCTTTTAGCCTTCGTTGAAATTAATGTTATAAATTTATACTTCATTTAGATCATACTTTTATGCTAAAACTAAAAATGACAAAATAAACGGATCATGTTAAAAATCTTTTGTACTTTGCCGTTAATCGACCGCGAACTGAGAGTCAACCGAATCTGATCGGTTATAACTTTTTGATGCTTGATCCAATACGAATTAATTTTATATCTTTCGAAAGGCATCGATAACCACTATATTTTTTCTAATAGGATAGATTCTGACCAATCATTAAAAAGTCATAACCAGATAGATCTAGTTATCTGATGTTTTTCAAATTTATCGAGTTATATCTTTCTAATAAGTGATCAGACCTGCTATACTCTTAAAAAATATCCCTTATATCCTCTTATCGATGAAATTTGGCAGACAGATAGATTATACCTCTTATCGAGGGCTTTCAAATGATATAAAATTAATTTGTATGGATTAATTAAAAAAGAGTTAACCGATCAAATTCGTTGACACTTACAAAGGAGAGGCTGTCAGGTGTCCGTGGAACTTTGGGATGAAATTTGGCAGACAGATAGATCATACCTTACTTTTATTATGAAATTTGCACCATTTTTGCTGTGGGGCACCGTAGACCGAGTTATAAGCCCCCAAAGTTTTAGGATCCCCTTTCCTTTTTTAAATATAAACAATTCCTTTTTTGATACAAATTTTGTTAGTTTGCGGTTGATTAACGAAAAACTCTTAATCTTTTTTAGGTTAATTTAACCTCTAAATCTACTTTAAAATCTTAGATTTTTTGTCTTGTTTTGGTTTCAAATCTTTTTTAAATTTATATCTACATGTGTTTTCACGCCAACTTCAAATCAGCTTCAACTCTTTTCAATCAAACTTAGATTCTCATTCTTCATCATTTTCCTCCTGATCATCATATTCTTCTTCTCCGGCTTCTCCTTCATCTTATTTATCATCGCCAGCATTATCTTAAAAATTTATTAAATATCAAGATTATGCGTTTTTGTGTAAGCTTTCCCTCAGAAAACTCCCAAAATTCTAATGTAAGAATCACTCAAAAATTACTCAAATTTAATTAACTTTCTTATAGTTTATTGCTCAAAAAAGGTGTGTTTTGTTATGGTTTATTTTTAGTCTTATAATCTTTTGGATAATAAACAATTTCATGCGCTTTATTAATTTCACAATTTAAAATAGTGATCGCAATAAATATCGTACCGTAATATAATACCTTCAAAATTCTACCGTACCTTACTAATTTAAATTAATCCGGTGCATATTTTACTTTAAAATTTTATAACTTACATAGGAGAGGCTTTTGGGTGTCCGTGGGACTTCGGGATGAAATTTGGTAGACAGGTAGATTATACCCTACTTTAGTTGTGAAATTTGCACCGTTTTCGCTGAATGGTACCAGAACCGAGTTATAAGCCCCCAAAGCTTTAGGATCCCCCTCAGTTTTAGCGAGGCCCTAACATTAAAAGAGTGGGGGCTAACATTACCATAAACTTTTTTATTATATGTACATATATCAAACAGGGTAGATTACTAATTCTTAAAAATTAAACATATTAAAAATTACATTGCTGCATTCCCTCATCCTTGTTCGTATTGTCTACATCAAATTCGTGAGCTTCACTGAGATGTCTTTTCAAATTCGTCGCTTTGGGAAAAAAACCGTTCGTATTCTTGCATTCATCAATTTTACAGTAAGCCCTTCCATTGTGCAAGTTAAAATAGTTCCAAGCTTCGGATTTTTCTAAAAAAATTAAATATCCAATTTTTATTTCGTTATAGTACAATTTTCATTTCATTATAGTATTAAATTTAAAATTAATTTAAAATTACTTTTTTGTCTTATTTTCTGTTCCAACTTGGCTACTTCTATCTTTTCCACCAGAGAAAGATGACTTCTCAAATTACCCACCGATTTAGATGACATTTCCTTATTACAGTGATTACAGAAAACTTTACCATTCTCAACCTCAGTAAAATACTTCCAAATTTCAGAAGAGTTTTCTATAATATGAAATATTCTATTATTGTATTACTAGTAAGATTTTACTTCATACTAATACTTCGAATTATTATTATTAAAATGTCTCGTTATTAAAGTTGCTGCTCAAAAAGAACGATTCGAGCTGGCAAATTTCTGCTCGAAAACTCTAAATTACTCGACTCGAAAAATAAGAGCTTGAGTCGAAAATACTCCTTCGGTAAAAAAAGTGAATTTTATCAGCACTTAAGTTTTTCACAGATTTTGCCTGTATTACTCAAAATTCTCATAATTTTCAACTAGGCGCTAAGAAGGAAGACTTTTCAAGGTCAGGCTTTCTTATGCATCTTAGCCTTCTCCCATTAATCTTCAGATATTTTCCCGAATCCTCTTATATGTATCCCACCAAAAATCGTATTTCTTTTTAAGTATCCCCCAAAAAGCTAACATTTTTTAATAAAATAAAATTATGATTAAAATACATTTTTGTATAATGCGCTGAGCTTCGGCTCGAATAGAACCACACTACTCCTTATATTCTCCACACTACTCCTTATATTCTCCACACTACTCCTTATATACTCCACACTACTCCTTATATTCTCCACACTACTCCTTATATTCTCCACACTACTCCTTATATTCTCCACACTACTCCTTATATTCTCCACACTACTCCTTATATTCTCCAAATATTAAAATCAACTTCAATTTAAATCAGACTTACTAGTAGTTCTTTTTCTTTTAACATTACCAACAGCATCTAAAATTATTAATTAAATTTAACAGCATGTAAGAATTAGATATGAAGCATTACTTTGTTAGTTTTATGCCTTACATATTCTACCCCAAATTTCCCTGCATAGAAAATTAATGCTGGTTGGCTCCCAACAGCTGAATAACCTTTTGCACTAAATGAAGAAGATAAATATCTTATAGCCCAGATCTCCTTTGTTATACATATATCACATTAGAATTATTTTAGGCTTACGTTCCAGACTTTTACCTGATTGCACATTATGCTTTGCCGTAAGTATTACTATTCCGTGTTGGAGTAAATGAGTCTGTAAATTCTTTAAATCGTTAGATGCCATAACCTTTGCGCAATGATTACAGTAAACAATATTGTCAACCAATGAAAAATGATTCCAAGTTAAAGGAGCTTTTTCTATAATATTATAATTTTTTAAAAGTATAGGTATTTTGTTTGTATTTTCGAGTCAGATCGGTATCGTTAACTAAAAATCTGATGAAAACAAACGATCATTAGAAATAAATTATATAAGGCAAGGGTTACCCCTTGCCTTATATTGCTTCGCGCCTTCTGCCCTCGCCAGTAAAGTTTAGCCCTTTATTTTACTCAACTTACACACATAGCATGCATCTTACCGTGTTCCTCATCTCCTTGACCTCCTCCACTGGTCGATCCCAAGTTTCTCTTTCCTTTATCCTTATGACCACCGCCCTCCAACAAAACGGAGATATTTAGAATAATTAACAAACAAATAACAAAATTATTTAAATTCATCTAAAGATAATTTATTAAACAATATTTGTTATATTTCATGAATTTTAGTTAATAAATAAAATTTAGGAATTTATTTAGAAATTTTATAATTTTGGGGATCGGTGATTTTATCGGTGATGTACAATGCTTTATTTAAATAAAACGATTAATAACGGATTACTAATAGATGCCCGGCATTCTATTTTTCAAACAACTTCCAAAGATGCATTCT